CCCCCTCTTACATACACAGCCCCCCTTATATACACAGCCACCTCTTACACACACAGCCCTCCTCTTACATACACAGCCCCCTTACATACACAGCCCCCCCTTACACACACACAGCCCCCAATACACACATAGCCCCAATACACTCACTGCCCCCCATACACACATAGCACCCCTCACACAAAAACACACTGCGCCACTCACACACAAACACACTGCTCCCAATACACACACTGCACCCTTTACACACAAACACACTGCTCCCAATATACAAATTGCTACCCCATACATACACTGCACCCCTCTCACTCACGCACTACCCCTCCATACACATAAGTCAGTGTTTCCGGGTCAGTGTTTGTCAGTGTGTGTCGGTCAGTGATTCAGTCAGTGACTGTAATATTCCAAAATCTGTCAGCTTGATAAGTTGAGGTACATTTTAAACTTCAACACCATAAGAACACAGAAGAAACTAGATACTTATTTGAGCCATATAAAATACTGCATTCTGATTGACTGCTGAATACAAATAATAGATTAGTGAACAAAATAATTGCATCCCCTGAATGTTATATAATGAACAGTTTCTGGTGCAATTCAACAAAAACATGAATTTCCCATAAAATTTGCACATGCAGAGTTTTCAGAGAAGAAATAAACGAAAATAAATATTTCCCCAAATCGCTCTCAAATTTATTTTAATATCAGTTTTCTTAATCCACAGCTGGCAAATCTTGCTGTCAATCCATTTACAAACATACACTTCACATTAGTATTGCTAACATAAATGTGTACACATATATACAGAAATAGTAACTATTTATATCAAAGTACACTTGTCTGAATGACATAGCAGCTTATCAAATAAGAATTCAATTCTAACTTAGGAATCATTTCACATACTTAAACCTGCCAGTGATTTCTCTCTTTACACTTTAATAAGTTCTTCCTTATTTGCTTCATTCTAACCTTAACCTTCTGAGTGTCAGTCAGGGGTGAGTGACCCATGCACCAGCACTAAAAGGGTTAATGGTCAAACGAACACCAGCAATAAATAAAATACACAAAAGCATATGGCATGGTATTCAAAGGTGAAACATTCAACAGCAAATTGAGTGATATGGTTTAACACCTTGTCACCGGGAAAGCACTGACAATAAATAACGTTTTTTTTCTTTTTATATATATATATATATATTTAATATTTTATTTTTTTTAACAGCAGCGACTACAAAATTAAAAGAACAGAAAATAGGCTTTTCACAGATATTATTCTCTCATAAACATCCTGCGTTTTTTTTGTGTTTTTTTTTGTTATTCGCAATTTTCATATAAAATTAAATATGTACAATTATTTGTCTGCTTATAGAATAATTTTGTCTCTTTATAAGTTTTGTGCATGCACACACAGGCGGCTGGACACATGCGCACACATACACACTCTCGCACACACACACACACACACACACCTTATTGCAAACTTCCTTGATGCTCTGTGCCAGGGGGTAGCCAATGAGTAGCCCATCGTCAGTTACTATCTGGCTATTTTACAGATGCACCTGCCATATTTATCCTTTGCTAAAACAGGCTCTCTCCAGCTGTTTGTAAATAGTCCTTCTAAAAACCAGCTGTTTTAAGCATACCCCTGCTCTGTGCAGTAAACTCTGAATAACTCTTTGGGATGCAATACACTTAAAGTGATGGAATTAAAAAGAGACTTTTATGATCCAGGCTTCCCCAAACCTCCGGCCCTCCAGATGTTGCTGAACTACAACTCCCATGATTCTCAGCCTATCTATTTCATTCATAGAATCATGGGACTTGTGGTTCAGCAACATCTGGAGGGCCAGAGTTTGGGGAAGCCTGTTAAAAGTAAAAATAAAAAATATAAAATTTAAATATAACATACTGCACCCCTTTTAACTGGATTGTCACTTCTCAAACAAATTATACCCTTGAGCAAAACCATTGAAAATCATAAATAGCTCACATTAACATTATTTTATGTGATGCTTCTTTTTCTTTTAAAATATATAAAAAGGATTAAGCAAGTGATATCACAATCCTGTTCCGCCCAGGCACAGCCAGGGATAAACCTGACTCCAATAACTGAGGAGCAATTCTTCCATTGAGACAATTAGAAATATTCGTATCTCTTATATTGGCTCATCTAGCCCTATACATGGATTTCATTTGCGTTGTAATTATTCGTTTACTGTTTGCTTTTAGTTTTTGTACTATATTATTAAGCAACTTAGTGCTTTTTTGCTGTCATGTATGACATCACACCTACTTTGCAAGAAAGAGGCATGTGCTGCGTGTAGGATATATACTGTTCCTGTTCAGGATTCTGATTGGTTACTGCAATGTTCTATTTAGGAAGTTAATGTCATGTTTCTTTATGTTTGTTTTCGTTTCTGCAATGAAAGCAAGCAAATAAAGTTTAAACGGACACTACAGTCACCAGAACACCTACAGCTTAATGTAGTTGTTTTGGTGTGTATAGCCTGTCCCTGCAGTCATTTTAATGTAAACACTGTCTTTTCAGAGAAAATAGGCAGTGTTTATTTTCTGCCTAGGGACAGCTCCAGTGGCAGCCATTCAGACGGCCACTAGAGGTGCTTCCTGGATGCAGCACTGATGTTCAGCATCTCCACACTCTGCATGGACCTGCTGAACGAGTCATTGCTCTCAATGAGGAGATGCTGGTTGATGCCAAGCGGCGGGTTGCCGAGCATATGCGGTAGCCTTCTGGATTGGCTGAGATCATCAAGTTTGATGGTCTCAGCCAAGGGGGCAGAGCGTGGGCGGGGCCAGCCGGGGGACTAAACAGCTATTTAGACCTATATTGTCAGGAATACACATTTGTATTCCTAATACTATAGTGTTCCATTAAGCATTATATTGATTCTCTACAACAAATTTAATCTTTCACTGCATATAAAATTGACAATGGTTGGTTGACTTGGCTAAATACATTTTGTCATCACCAGAAGTCCAGGTAAAATCTTTCATTTAAAATTTATATATAAAAAAAAAAATACCCTTGAACAGACACAAAAATACTGGTGGTTTTAAAAGGGCCGTCTGAAGGTTCAAGTATCTAATTAGCAAGCCAGTTAAAGGAAAACTATAGGGGGCATAACAACTCCATTTTAATGATATTGTTACGGTGTCTGAAGGTTCAAGACGCCATTTTACCTAAGGTGTTAAACCCGCAAATGCTTCCCAACAAGATATCTGTTACTTTTAAATATAACTGACACAATCCTTGCTTAAGGCTCTTTTTGTTTCCTACTTAGTAACTTTTAAGTGTCCCAATTTATAGGGTTATTCACTACGGTGAGAATTCATCGTGAATTTAACAGTCACAGGGGCACCCAGATAACTTAATCTCAATGAAGTGGTCTGGGTGCCATATCTCTCTCATTTTAATTCAACGGTGTAAACCTTTGCCCTTCTGTAGAAACAGCAATGTTTACCTTGCAGAGTTTAAATGCCTTTAATGACTATCATACTGTCAGACAGCCACTAGAGACACTTGTACAGATATAGAAGAACGAAACTTGGCTACCTCAGTCAGATCGTCTCATAAAGACCATCTGATTGGCACAGCGTTTTACTACGCATGCACACTAACCGGTCAATGGAAAAGCATTGAATTGGCTGAGATCATTAAGATTGATAAACTCAGTCAAGGAGGCATGGCCAGCCGCAGAGTAAGCAATGGAGCGTTGGATAAGAGGTAAGTGGAATATTTTTTAAATCCTTGTGAGAAGAGGGGCGGCCACCTAAACGGTGACTAGGACACTATAGCACATTTCTATTCCTAATACTATAGATTTCCTTTAAGATCCAAATAGCCAAATTGGAAACATACGAAGAAGGCCAGAATAGTTATGTTTTTGGTACTAGACACTGTGCTAGCTGCAGTGTACCCTTAACATTAGACAAAGGTTCTTGAATTGAATGGCTGGCAGAGGATTCTGGGATTTGTATTCCAATAACAGCTAGTGTGCCATGCTATATAGCCCTATGCTATACACTGAAAATGAAATCAAATAGCTACTGCATTTATCTCTGGAAAAGTTTCTCCGATCACGAATTAATCTGTAATGGACAAATAATATGTAATAATATGAACAAAGGGCAGCAATACATAATGTAAATGCTAAAAATGATGTGCAAATGATAAGATGATACATCAGTGAGGTATGGAGCATTACTATCTCAATATTCTATCCAGCCAAAAATAAAATAGATATGTAGATAGAGAGAAATATTTTTTTAAATTGTCTCCACTTATTCTAAATTATGACATCACGGTGCAGCGTGTGTATGTTAACTCGCACACCCTGATTCTGGGAGAACATTCAAGAATGTGGACTGAGTGACTGGCATCATAATATGCACACACAGAATGTCATGCCCTGTAGAATTATATGTCTTATAACCCCATGGTCCCCATGTTGAATATTAGGAAATGTAATGTGGGCCTATGGGGGTGCTAAATGATAATGTCATAAACAAGGCACAGGAACAGCAAATAGAATACCCCTAATTATTGATCTACCCACTGTTATCATCTCAGTATTTACACTGGTTAGGGGAATGAGTCTCTTAATCTATCACATATATTAGGACCAAACATTTACCTCTAAATTGGTGCTACATGCAGCAAGACTATTTTGTGCATTTCCTAAAGTGTTTAAAATTAATAAAACAATGCTGCCAACAAGGTATTTCTGTGCTAACAGTATTTGTTATGTGTTTTTGAAGTGGAATATTGCATTTACCAATTTTGGATGATAGATGGTGCTTTTGAAGAGCTACACACATCAAACTGTACTCCAGCACAAAGATAACCTGTTATTTCCTGTGATAGCTTTGTGGGTTGTCTGTGATGGGCATATTTAACATGACAATGGCCATCTTTACAGTGTACGTGTCATGCCAAACATGATAAGTGTCACTTTATAGTTAAATTGCTTGAACACAAGCATACTTTTCTAGAGTTTTTCAATGTTCACATTCTCTCTTTAACCCCTTAAGGACACATGACATGTCTGACATGTCATGATTCCCTTATATTTCAGAAGTTTGGTCCTTAAGGGGTTAAAGGACCACTATAGTGCCAGGAAAACAAACTCGTTTTCCTGGCACTATAGGGTTATTAGGTCCCCCCCACCCTCAGGGTCCCCCTCCCGCTGGGCTGAATGGGTTAAAACCCCTTCAGCCACTTACCTTTCTCCATCGCCAGGCTCCCTCGGCGCTGGGGAACTCTCCTCCCTTTGGCGACATCAGCGCCAAATCCGCATGCGGGGCAAGTTTCTCTGAAACGGCTATGTTTAAAGCTGCAGGGTTAAAACCTGGGGGACCTGGCACCCAGACCACTTCATTGAGCTGAAGTGGTCTGGTGCCTATAGTGGTCCTGTAATCATGAGACCCATCTGGATACTATTTAACACCAAAGTCAATTTAACAACAAGAAGACACAGAAGGCAGTTCCCTTTCAAAGAGACAGTTGCCTAGGGTTCCATAGTTTTAAGGACATGACAAAAGATTAGTAAGAATAACCCATCTCACCCATGATTACTTAAGGATTTCCATTTTTGTGTTTGCAGTTGGACATCCTTCCCATTATAGTTTAATACCAGCTGAGGTTTGGCATATAAATAGTACAGTCCTAAGCCATAACACATATCACACAGCACTTCCCATACATCTTGTGCCACATGCATCTTGTCGAGTGTCTCTCAGTTCAGCACTGTCCAGAAAGTATACATTAACATTTACACAAAATATTCCTATCTATATTTTGCTAGCTTTTAGAGCATCAAGGACTCTCTTTGACGCTGGTTTAGTAAACAAGCACACTCACAATTCATTGCAGCATGGTTTGTGAAGTCAAATCTAGCGACCACACCTCTATTCACTGTGCACTGTGGGCTAGTTTCAATAGCAGAGCCATTTCACTGCGCAGATTAAATAGATGCATTGCAGATGCCAGGACATGTTGCAATGCGGCATCGGCTAGTCAATCTCGTATACTTCATTTTATAGACTGGGAGTTACATTGGTATTCACTGAAGGAGGTTCAAGCATGAAACGCCTCAAGTAGCAAATGTGGGCAAGATTTCAAAACGCTGGGAGAATCTCCATGGAAACCAATGGAATGTTCCTACTAATTATCCCACACTTATAACGTTTATCCATGGTTGTCCTTTATATGTGTGGCTCCCAGGGTCATAAAAAGACAGGATAACTCTTTAAATATATGGCCTTAAAATATACAGACCAGCCACCAACAGTAGCTTGTGGACTGTAGCTCTCCAGCTCTCACTACAGTAGTCATGTGGTGATATAATCTCTCCCACAAATAATAGTCTTAGAAATACTATTTTGTGTTGATGAGTCATATAAAGGTCTACATAGGGGTTTAAGTTTCACATGGAAACCTGCAAGAACCCATGAAACAATGAGAACTGTTGTCAAAAGTCTACATTAGAATTCTCCCAAATTTAAATGAAACACTTTATTTAATGGAATTTTGTCCCTCCGTAGACTAGTGAACCATTTTCATGGTATGATATAAAAACTAGAACATTTAGAATCTCAGATCCTACGGGAGTAAAGACCTCTCCTAAAAAGCCACAATGCCTTTTACCACCTTTTGGTTAACAATTGAATAAATTGAACCGCGGGACATCAGTGAATTTTTTTTTTTGATCCTAGATAAACTGAGATATAGGTGTTTATTAACCAAGCAATACATAGGTCATCTTGACCTTGTATGTAGAGAGCTTTCACATGAATATAGAGATTTCTATATGTTCTACTGCATCAGTTGTATTCACAGTAAACAGTGATTAGAATTCTTCAGAGTGTGCTAGATTTCATATCACATCAGAGCTTCCCTCCGCTAGCCAATATGGCTAAAATAACCCAGGATCCAAGTCACTTTGACCTTTTTCCATAAGTTCACCCCTACCACCCCCAAAACAAAATAAAACAGTAACAGTCACATAACTGTATCCCGAAAGAGCTGCACAGGGTACTGACAATACCGGTAGTACAGGACACTGAGAATGCCAATCGCACAGGGCAGTACCAGCGGGACAGGGCACCATATGTACTGTTAGTACAGGAGACTGGCAGTACCAGTAGGGAAGGGCAATGAGAGTGCTAAGCGTACATGGCAGTACCAGCAGTGACATGTATTCATAAAATGCACAGGGTTGTACCCCAATTTCAGGGCGAAGGATCACAGGGCACTGCAAGTACTGACAGTACAGGCACTGGCAGCACCAGCCATCAGCAGTACAGGACATTGGCAGTACTGGCAATACAAGGCACCAGCAGTAGAGGTTACTGCCATTACCGGATGTTTAGAGCACCGGTAGTGCATTGGCACCATAAAGACTACCAGTACAGGGCACCGGCAGTACACTGCCCTATGCAATGTGCTGTTCTCCTGGTAGGTAGAGAAAGGTGCATTGAGAAGGGAGAACAGACAGAGAGCATTATCAGCTGCATAACAAACAGTATACCATTTTTCAACTGCAGTTGGATTACAGCAAGCACTCGTTCCTCAGCTCATTCATCTCCTGAGTACTCAAAGGGCCTGCCAATTGCAGAACCCTGCAGTACAAAGAGATTCCTTTGAAGATTCTTCTCTGGCTAACCATGAGCTGGAGTAGGTAGCACATGCACAGTGAGAAACTAGCTGTGTAGAGTAGGTCCATTTGTATTAGATCTCTGTGGACTCTATTCTCTCTAACCTTGAAGGTGTCCAGGGTTTTTTATCTTCAGCTGGTGGTGTAGTGACTTTATTGGTTATTTCATTGATCTTTTGCTCCAGCTGTTGATTTTTCTGATACATCTCCACATAGTTGAGTTGTAGCTGTTTCTGATACTTAATCACTTTCTCTTTTTCTTCTTGCCAAGTACGCCTCTCATCTTCAAACTCTACCACCTGATGATCCCTTTGCTGTCTCTCTAACGACAATTCCACCTGAAGACTTTCTATATCCCTTTTCATGGAAATTACGCAATCTTCATTTTGACGTTTCATCTTTGCCTCATCACTCTCACACGCAAGAGTGAGCTTCTCGTTCATTTCTGTGTTATATGGGTTTTGACCAAAGTTTGAGAGGGCTTCCTTCAAACTAGCGATTTCCTGTTCACATTGACTTAACTTTTCCTTCATTTGTTGGGCTTCACTTTGCTTCCTCTGCATCTCATTCTCGCAGATCTCCAGGCTGACACTCTTTGAGCTATAAGAATCCTTGATGGAAGCAATCTGTTCCTCCTTTTCCCTCAGGAAAGCCTTAGCTTCCTTAAGTTGAGTTCTCAGTCCTACTATCTCATTTAGTTTTTGAGAGACATCTGATTGGGAGTCCTTAAGCTGTTGCTTCAGTAGGGATATTTCACCAGATTTCTGGCATACCTGTGGTGGTGAAAAGCAAATGATAAAAAAATGATTTAATACAAAATTTGTTCACTACCCAGCATAATCTAGAACCACCCTCCAACATGTTTATACCTAATGATTTACATGATTTAGAGTCTATATATGTTTCTTTGGTCTGAACTCTGACTGTTGATGGTCAATGGTTTAGTCTAAATTTTAGACTAAACCATTGACCATCAACAGTCATAGTTCAGACCAGAGAAACATATATAGAACACTGATGGTTTACTAGATTAGAGATTGGATAGAGCAGACTGGGCAAACGATAGATTACCATGTGTTGAAGAACAGTAATTGTCATAATGCTTTGCCAGCCTTTAGATACTGTTCGATATCTGCTGGAGAGTATAGGGGAGACTTGCCAAAGAATGGTCATAGTGATTTGCACTTTAAATGGCAATTGAAGCTCCGCCATCAGGGAAGAGGCTGCATCTCGCAGTGTCAATCACCTTGGCTACATCTTATAGTCAACTTATAATCACCTTACAGGTCTGATATGTGGTCTGTGTTCCACAGGTTTCCCTCTTCTGTACCTCAAAGGGTTCCTCTCACATCATTGACTTTTATTACAACCTGCCGTATAGTTCTGTGAACTAATTCTGTGATCTGGATGGGGACAGCCTCTCTCTCATAACTAATATATGCCCCTTAGTGAACATATGTAAAACCATGCAGTTTTCTCTTTGCAAAATGATACAATGAAGCATCCTGCATTTAGAAACCTGCTAGAAGAATACAAAATGCGGGACACTCCCCAGGACCGAATTTTGTTGGGACTGTCCCAAAAAATGCTGGATTTTCTTAATAAATTTGGGACTGTTGGCACCTATGTAACTGGTGGCATCTTACCCCGTGTTCCAACGCACTAGATGCTTGTTTTTTTTTTCCTCCTTCCCTCCCCCCCACCAGCCTCCCCACTTCCTACACCCAGGGGTCTAATTCTCATTTTGTGGATGACAGATCCTCTTTAATATGGCTCTGTCATGATAATATCATGTATCAAAGTTGCAAAACTTGCACCATCATACAGAAAAAGAATATGTACACCTAGCATCAGTCGGTTCAGATGTTGTGTTTCTATTTACATGGTACATTTAACATTTACAGCTATCCTTCAGGAACAGGGGAGTTTGCGCACGATCAACACGTTCAGACACTGCATTCCCTCAACTGATCTGATTAAATCAAAATATAAAAGGAGGGCTGCGCCAGAATAAACAGTGTCCAGTATCAATAGTTATTGAAGATAAAAAGTCCGACCTAAAAAGGTATCCTCTCTGTCGTCTTTAGGTACAGGAACGCGATCTTCAGGTAATATATAAAAGATAAAAGGAGAGAACAAACGATGGTGCAGAATGTACGGTTCAAATGAAGTAAAAATTGATTAATGATAACGAACTCACAATTTCCAGAGCTTCTGTCCAGCTCTAGGGTAAAGCGCACACAGCGGTATAATCCCCGCTTATGGGATTTATGATGGGTTCGTCAGGGTATCCAAAACTCAAAGGAAACAGAAACAGCCAAATAGTGCTCTCTGTATAACTGTATATTATAAAAGAGAATAAAAAAAACGTACTTACAAGTACAGAGCAGACCAACTGCTCTTTGATGTCAGCGCTGGTGGAATAATCCCCACCTATGGATTTCTTTGGTTGTCAGGAACTTGTAGAGATAGTATTAAAATCGGAATAGAGTGTATATAAAATATAACAATGAACTAAAACGATAAATAGCCAGGGTACATGTATAAATAAAAGTAGTTGGGACTATCAGTTAACCAAAAACTTTAATATTTATTATACAAAATTAAATTTCCATAACGCGTTTCGTCTAACAGACTTTATCAAATGGAATATAATACAAAACCTGGCAGATAGTGTTTATATAGACATAGTTTATTTGATATAAACACTATCTGCCAGGTTTTGTATTATATTCCATTTGATAAAGTCTGTTAGACGAAACGCGTTATTAAATTTTCTCAGATAGTAAATAGGTTAATGAGGCATATTCAGTGGTTTTTTATTAAAAACGAAGATGAGAAGGATTATAAAATTAAAAACACAATTGGTCATGTGATAATCATCACTTCCGGTTTTCGGCAGTATAGTCGCACGGCCTTATGGGTATTGTAGTTCCCCATAAGGCGATCTAAAAACGGAAGCTAGAAAAAGAGAACTAAAAAAACAAAAAAAAACAAAAAAAAAAACAACAAAAAAAAACCAAAGGATAGGGTTACTTGTGGGGAGACAAGTCCCATGGTGTTAAAATTACATAAAAATCTTCAATAACTATTGATACTGGACACTGTTTATTCTGGCGCAGCCCTCCTTTTATATTTTGCTTTTATCCTGTATTTTAGGGTTTTGGGGGGATTCCCTTGTTGGGTTGCTGCCTTACAGGTTGTCTGGCGCTGTCTTTTTTCCTTTATTTATTGATCTGATTAAATGCTTGTATGACATGCTCACAGCAGCATAACTGCAAGCGAGTAAGAGATAGTCACAACTCCTAATTACAGCTAACCTCATATGGCCTGTTTAAAAGTAAATAATAATCTTTTCGGAACATGGTTTTGAATTGATTTTGTAAAGAAGATCTCAAGTGATAGAACTAGTTTGATATGATTTAGTTTGTGGGATTAAGCAAGGACCATATTTTATATTTATAACTCCTGCATGGAAATCTAGCCCTAGTGTTGAATAAAAAAAATGTAGTTATATAAAGCTATAGTTTTGTTTTTTTATACAAGTATAGGAAGGAGTAGATAAGTGAATATATTTTGGCCTGCCACTCAATAATTCTATGTTCCTAAGCTTTGATATATTACTCATTACAGTTCCTTGCATAAGTATTCAACCCCCATGGACATTTCCACATTTCCTAGTTTTACAACCTTAAATTAAAATTAAAAAATGAAAAATAATTAAAATTTGTTTGTTCCATAAACATTTACCTTCATTAATATGAAGTCATAAATAAATGTGTGTGCAACCAATAACCTTCAAAGTCAGTGGCATCTCCAGGATTCATAGTTGGGGGGGGCACGTGGGGGGCCAGGGACAAAGGTAGGGGGGTGGTTATAAAGTAAGTAAAAGAGAGAGAGAGTGAGAGTATGAGTGTGTGAGTGCTGTGGTGGGGAAAAAAGTGTGGATGAAAACCCTTTCCACCTGAAGTAAGTACTACTGCAAGGGATTCTAGGTAGGCATATGCAAATAAGCTCAACAAAGAGAACAAGGATTCCATGTATAAAGTGGAATTATGAGGCAAAATTGTTGTTCTTTGTTGAGCTAATTTCCATACTCCTACTCAGAATCCCTTGCAGTAGTGAGAGCACTGTTAAAGTGAGATTTCTGTGGCAAAAAGCAAGTCTTATGGCTTGACTTGTATGTGTATTTGTGTTTTGCAATGTATTCACACACACACTCCCTTAATCCCTCGGCAAAGTGCAGTCTCAGCCAGGTAGGTAATGTGTCACACATTAGATGTAGCATCACTGTCTGTTCAGTTCACATCTACCCCATGGATTGAAGAATCCATGTCTTTTCTGTCCCCCCATCCCATTCCATCTATGTGTCTGTTCCCTTCCCTTTTATGTCTTTTCTTCCCCCTTCTTCCATGTCATGGATGATGTAGTGTATACACACTGTATGCAGTGTGTGTATGTGTGTGTGTGTGTAGTGGATGCAGTGTCTGTGTTTGTGTAGTGAATGCAGTGTGTGTAGTATATCTAGTGTTTTTTGTGGTGGATGCAGTGTGTCTAGTGGATGCGGTGTCCGTAGTAGTGTCTGTGTAGTGCATGCAGTGTTGGATAAGTGTTGGGGGAGGAGCCGTTTAAATTAAATTGAGCTTATCCCCCCTCTCTGCCTCTTACCTGTGGGCTGTAAGGGGGGGACAGTGTGTAGGAAGGTGACAGTATAGGGGAGCTGTGTGTAGGAGGGTGACAGTATAGCGGGGCAGTGTGTAGGAAGGTGACATTGTAGGGGCAATGTGTAGAAAGGTGACAGTATGGGGGGGCAGTGTCTAGGAAGGTGACAGTGTGGGAATGCAGTGTGTAGGAAGGTGACAGTATGGGGGGCAGAGTGTGGGGATAGTAGTGTAGATAGGCAGTCTGACAGACAACATGCCCTCAGACAACTTGAATGTGGTGTGTGTGTAGTGGATGTGGAATTAGAATGTGTGTAATGGATGCAGAGTACTTGTATAATGAATGCAGTGTGTATAGTGGTAACAGATTTACATTGTGTAATGGGTGTAGTGTTTGTGTGTATTAGATGCAGTATGTGCAGCGTATGCAGTGTGTGTGTTTGTGTAGTGTATGTAGTGTGTGTATAGGGAATACAGAGTGTGTTTGTGTAGTGGATGTAGTATGTGTTTGTGTAGTGGATGTAATGTGTGTTTGTGTAGTGTGTGTATTAGATGCAGTGTGTAGTGGATGCAGTGTCTGTGTTTGTGTAGTGGATGTAGTGTGTGTATTAGATGCAGTGTCTGCATATAATGAATAAAGAGTGTGTATGGTACTAGTGTATGCAGAGTGTGTTTTGTACACACACTGCCAAAGCAGTCCGAGCCCTCCAGGACCGCCGGGCCTGTGCCAACTATCATGGTTGTCACCCCCTGATGGCGGCCCTGCACACACTCACTGACAGACACACACACACACATTCACTGACACACTCACTGACAGACACACACCTACTAGCAGATACACACTGACCATCACACACACATCCAATGACAAACACACACACGTCAATGACAGACACAGACTCTCACTGATTTGACAAACATACATTAACTAACAGATACAGATACACTCACTGACACACACACATTCACTGACAGGCACACAAACACTCAATGACGAACACAGACTCCCACTGATGTGAAAGACACTCACAGACATACAAATTAACTGACAGACAAATACACACACACTCACTGACAGACACACACACACACACATTCACTAACAGACACACACACCCATGAACTAACAGACATACACACACATTCTCTCACACACCTTCACAAATTATTAATATTATTATTTTAATTTGTCCACCCAGCCTACTTTTGGGAGAACTGGAGTGGATCTGTCCTTGGGGTCCACTGGGGCAGCTGTGAGGCAGGCAGCTGTAGGCACATCAGAGGCAGTGAGGGAGCTGTAATCCTCCTGCTCTGCTCCCTCGCACTCCGTCTACTGATGCAGGGAGACGTAATAGGACGTCATATTCCGGCTCCTGCGATCAGTAGATGGCGTGTGCAAGTGAGCAGAGCAGGAGGATTACAGTTCCCTCGCCGCCTCTGAGGTTCTCACAGCCGCCCGCCTCAGGGGTCCATAAACTGCTTCCTCCATGACAGAAGGGAGCACTGGGGATGTCCATGTGGTCATTTTGGGATAGATACAGCCAGGGCTAGCCTTAGGCCGTTAGGCGCCATGTGCGAAAAATCACAGACAAAGGCTTACAGTTACACACTGTTGATATTGTTTTGATGGCTCCATGATCTTTTCTTGAAGCTATTTGTTTAGACCAGGGGTGCCCAAAAGGTAGATCCCCAGATGTTTTAAAACTACAGCTTCTGTGTTTTCCTTTGTCATTGGCATTCTAAAGATATGCAAAGCATTATGGAATTTGTACTTCTACAACATCTGGGGATCTACCTTTTGGGCACCCCTGATCTAAACAAATGGCTTCACGAAAAGATCATGGAGCTATCAAAACAATATGAGTATAAAATTCTAGAGAAGCACTAGTCAGGGATAGGTTATAGTAAATGTGCCAATCTTTCCCAGTAATACCTCTAAATACTTAATAAATCAAGGAGAGACTATGTCACAATTGCATCTCTACAGATCCCATTTCTAGTTTGACCTAAGGTATGTAGAAGACACCACAAAGCCTAGATCTCAATCAAGAGAGCTGCGAGGCCAGAGGTAACTGTAGTGTAAGGAATACAACTTTGTCTTCATAACACAATAGTATCTCTTTAACTAGTTGTAAATTACATGTAGTTGTGTTTCTCACCTCCCACTGTGTTTCTTCTATCTTAGGGAGGAATTCAGACTGTTCTTTCTTGAAAACCATGCACTTCTTCTCCATGTCCTCCCTTTGTTGAAGGAGCTGTGCAACATCTTCTTGAAATTTTTTCTTTTCCTGTTGAAGTTTAAATACCTGCAACTGTAAAGCTTGCTGGGCCCTTTGTGCTTTCTTCGAGACCTGTTGAAGTTTGTTGGCATAATTCTGTCTCAAGTCCTCCATTTCACGTTCCCAAATTTTCTGCTTCTCCTCGAAGACTTGGAAAATGGCCGCCTCACTTTTGTCCAAGTTCCTCTTCATCTGAATGACTTCCTGTTCCTTCTCCCACAGTCGATCTTCCAAGTCTTGAATAATGTCATCGCTTGAAGGCGAGTGAAAAGGCAATGTTTCATTGAGATGATTTATTCTGCTGAAAGAGGAAGTGCTTTTACTGGAAGATCGTCCACTATCTGAGGTAGATATGCCATTATAACCCACTATATTCTTTTCAACATAGTTAGTCCCAATACGATTTATATGGCTTGTTGACGCACTCATTGGGCCAACATGTTGGCTGTAGCCAGTCCCATAAGTTGGTAAACTTGTTAGTGAATTTCTACCAGAATCTGACAGACCCCCTACTTGGTTGGATGACCGATTGTGGCTACTCTTCTCGTGTCCACTTTTCATTGCAGCTGCACTGTTGCTGTTTCCGTGGTTAGAACTTTTTCTGTTATCAGTTGCTGAATTGTTCAGGGGTGGACACAGATTTTGCATGGAGTGAAAGTTTTTTGGAACTACAGGTTTAAAAGCAGAAGGTCTTACCAAAGTCTCATTGCTCTGTAAAAGACAAAATACTCAATTAACATATAGTAGCCCAGTGACAAGAACACATTCTTCTACATATACTTCCATATACGTTACCTGTGATTATCAAATAATATTTTAATCTTTGTATCATGATTTTCGATTTTTGCAAAAGACAATCAAAAAGTCCATTAAGGGTCTCCTGGTCAAAAATACATAAAGACTCTAAAAATTGTTCTGCTGGTGCAAAGGTTTGGAATCAGAAAAAAAAGTCCTACCAAAACTTGTTTACGTTTAAGTTAAAGAAAGGAACAACACTCTGAGCTCCATAGCAGCTTCATCAAAATTAAGTTGTTATGGTGCCAGGAGGCCCTTGACTTTACCTTAAGTAGCTAAACCATTCCCAAACGGTTTAACTCCAAAGTTTTTGTTCCTGCTTAAAATGTCTTTGCCTCTCTGCCTTTCTGTTTTCTAAAATTCTCTAAACTGGAAAACTGTTGCAGAATCAGGCAGTGGCACTGCTGATTGGTTGAGAGCGGTCCGCTGACACGTTCAGTGAATGCCCATTCATAAAACTGGCTTGAAAAAAGTAAGTTTCTTTTCAAGCCAGTTTTATGAATATAGATTCACTGATTGGCTGGGTGCTGACCGCTCTTAGCCAATCAACATTGCCACTGCCTAATTCTGCAAGTGTCTTCAATTTTTGCGAATTTTAGAAAACAGAAGGGCAGAGAGACAGGTAGAGTCGGCGCTGGAACATGGGCTTTGGGGTTAAACTGTTTGAGAAAGGTTTAACCCCTTAATGTGAGCCAGCACCAGGGACCTCAAGGCACCATAACAACTTCATTTTGAAGTGTCTAAGCTGTCCCTCTCATGCTAACAAAGAAGACAAAAACAAACTGACTGCAAACCTCCACACAATGAAGAGCCAGAGCCGAAGAGGGGTTTATTCACAACTAGTACAAAAAGCATAGTGCTGAATTGACAATGCAACTGAACATTTTTGGCCGAAATAGCCAAACTGGAATGAAAGAATTTTGTTCTGTTTTTTTTAGATATTTTAGCTTAAAACGTTGCAAGCATTTTGTCAATTATATAGTGTAGTGAAGACACCCTTTAGAAATGCTATAAACAGTGAATGCTATTTTTACCTGACAAATTTGTAACTGGAAAAATATTAACTTTGTGCACTTTATGTGGAAATAAAAATACCACAGTACTGCTCTGGAAAGTAAACTGAGACAGTTTTGAAGCTTTTTGGGTAATATGAAAGCAAGTTTTTTTGTATCTGTCAGCATTCATTGACACTTGTTTATTCTTTTAAACAATACAATATAACAAGTCTATAATACCTGCTGTAGAAGCATTTCTGCTGGCTTTTGTCCTGCCCTTTTCTTTTATGAAATTAGATGAAACCAAACAAATGTAAATAAATGATGAAACAACATTGAAGGGTTCTTTGTGTACAATTTCCTGTGTAGAATTCTACATGTAGGTCAATTATTCCACCTCTAACATCCCACCCCTCAGCCCTCTTATGTCTAATAAAACCATGCATTATGTTTCTCGCAGATAATCTACGTAACTGAGCTCCAGTGCATCGTTGGTCTGTGCAGGCTCCCGAGCTGGCAAGAGCTCCTGACAAAAGCTCAAGCATACAACCTCCTGCCCCTCCTTATAATTTGACTGTATCTCTCACATCTCCTGACTGTTGCTAACATAGCACTGCCTCTCATAGAGTTATAAACTATTTAAACAATGGTCACCAGCCTGATGTTTCTTCTTTCCTATTCTTCATGTACTTCTTTACTCTTTACTTCATTACTGTATCACTCTCTGACTATGAATTCTATTTGCATTCCCAATCTAAAAGCGTTACGTCATAGCTATAGGGCAGCGATGGGGCAAACTAACCATGATAAAGCTAGCTGAGTATCACATCAAACACGGGGTCTCCTGGTGCTGGAACTGACCTGGTCTTGGAGATGTATTTATTCGGAGAGATAGAAGCTGGCAACATCTGTGGTAAGTTTTACTGCAGTCATAAATGACCACTAACCAAATGCACAGTCTTATGACGTAGCACTTCTTCACGTTTTAAGGGATGCTTATGGAATGAGTAAATAAAGGGGATTTATTAAAGGAATATCTACTCTGCATGATCCATGCTTCATAGGCATTCCTAACTGAATAGGGGTCATACCCTATAAAAAAAATGTAGATCGGAGATACAGTATCTCACAAAAGTGAGTACACCTCTCACATTTTTGTAAATATTTTATTATATCTTTTCATGTGACAACACTGAAGAAATGACACTCTGCTACAATGTAAAGTAGTAAGTGTACAGCCTGTATAACATTGTAAATTTGCTGTCCCCTCAAAATAACTCAACACACACCCAGTAATGTCTAAACCATTGGCAACAAAAGTGAGTACACCCCTACTTGGAAATGTCTAAATTGGGCCCAAAGTGTCAATATTTTGTGTGGCCACCATTATTTTCCAGTACTGCCTTAACCCTCATGGGCATGGAGTTCACCAGAGCTTCACAGGTTGCCACTGGAGTCCTCTTCCACTCCTCCATGATGACATCATGGAGCTGGTGGATGTTAGAGACCTTGCGCTCCCACACCTTCGAGGATGCCCCACAGATGCTCAATAGGATTTAGGTCTGGAGACATGCTTGGCCAGTCCATCACCTTTACCTTCAGCTTCTTTAGCAAGGCAGTGGTTGTCTTGGAGGTGTGGTTAGGGTCGTTATTGGGGCCCAGTCTCTGAAGGGAGGGGATCATGCTCTGCTTCAGTATGTCACAGTACATGTTGACATTCATGAACTGTAGCTCCCCAGTGCCGGCAGCACTCATGCAAGCCTAGACCATGACACTCCCACCACCATGCTTGACTGTAGGCAAGACACACTTGTCTTTGTACTCCTCACATGGTTGCCCATCTGAACCAAATACGTTTATCTTTGTCTCATCGGACCACAGGACATGGTTCCAGTAATCCATGTCCTTAGTCTGCTTATCTTCAGCAAACTGCGGGCTTTCTTGTGCATCATCTTTAGAAGAGGCTTCCTCCTGGGATGACAACCATGCAGACCAATTTGATGCAGTGTTTGGTCTAAGCACCTACCCCTTGAACCTCTGCAGCAATGCTGGCAGCACTCATACGTCTATTGCCCAAAGACAACCTCTGGACATGACGCTGAGCACGTGCACTCAACTTCTTTGGTCGACCATGGCGAGGCCTGTTATGAGTGGAACCTGTCCTGTGAAACCACTATATGGTCTTGCCCACCGTGCTGCAGCTCAGTTTCAGGGTCTTGTCAATCTTCTTATAGCCTAGGCCAGGCATAGGCAACCTTCGGCACTCCAGATGTTTTGGACTACACCTCCCATGATGCTTTGCCAGCATTATGGGTGTAAAAGCATTATGGGGGATGTAGTCCACAACATCTGGAGTGCCGAAGGATGCCTAGGCCATCTTTATGTAGAGTTACAATTCTTTTTTTCAGATCCTTAGAGAGTTCTTTGCCATGATGTGCCATGTTGAACTTCCAGTGACCAGTATGAGAGAGTATGAGATCGATTACACCATATTTAACACACCTGCTCCCCATTCACACCTGAGACCTTGTAACACTAACGAGTCACATGACACTGGTGAAGGAAAATAGCTAATTGGGCCGATTTTTTTTTCCACTTAGGGGTGTACTCACTTTAGTTGCCAATGGTTTAGACATTAATGGCTGTGTGGTGAGTTATTTTGAGGGGACGGCAAATGTAGACTGTTATACAGGTGGTACATTTACTACTTTACATTGTAGTGTTATCTGTTCAGTGTTGTCACATGAAAAGATATAATAAAATATTTACAAAAATGTGAGGGGTGTACTCACTTTTGTGAGATACTGTACCTTTTTAGCTTTTTCAGCAATTAATTAAAACGGGAGAAATGTATTGATTGTGCATGGGAGTCCACATAACAATAGTTGCAAAATGAACTAAGGTTCTAAGAAATATATACCGGTAGATCTCTAAATACGTTTGAATCACAACTCCCTGGATTCTTGGCTGATCTTTCACTGAGGTTCATGGGAGCTGTACTTGAATTTAATTTGCAAAAAATCTGAGTTTAACAAATATCCCTGTAGGTTACCCCCACTGATCCTCTCCTATTGCTCTTCCTTTGTCTTATTGCATTACCAGCAAGTCTTCCAGAAACATACAATAGGAGTAATTGTAGATTCCCATCTAACTCTTGTATTCTGGGAATCAGATGTTCCTATTCCAGCTTTACAAAGAGTGGCTACTGGGGTTAAGGACTCTAAACTGAGAATGGACTCTAAACTGTTCTCACTCACATTCCCACACATGTCAGCTTTCATCTTCTCATTCTTGCGCTGCTCTCCGTTGATGTACATGGAACTGGAGTTCTTCTCTGTCTTGTAAGTCTTTTCTTCCCCCGAGTAGCGGTTAGAGTACCCGTTCCTGGAGCTGTCATTCTGCTTCAAGCTGTTCTGAGTCCTGGTTCCTACACTCTTCATTGCAAACTCTTGGTCATTGGCTACGCCGCTGCCGACACTTCCCATAGTGCCCTGGGATGGAGAGTCAGATGATCTACTGGCGAAAGAGTGAAAGGACTCTTGGCTCTGGAAGGCTGTGTCACTGTGGACGGATCTTGCCTCTAGCTTTGCCATGGCTGCACCGATGGAGAGATATGATGTAAACCAGTGGCACTAAAAATAAAAAAGACACAAATACGAGTCTCATTACTAATTTTTTTAGGAAATTGTTGCAACAAATGACCATTACCAACAATTCCACTGGAAATAACTCTAGCTTAATACTAGGATACAGGACCAAGTTTCATTTTTAGCATAAATAGGTGTGAACGTTACATTAAGATGTATTTGTTTTTCCGTCTGTCTTCTGTGTCTATCAAAGTACTATTGGAGTTTGTGAATCATTAAAGATGTTAATGATTTGCAGAATGTTCCATGTTAATTCCCACATCTGTTAATCATTTGTTGGATGAGAGGAACACTGGTCACTCAATACAGTGTCAGAAATTCAAAGGAAATTCAAAGCTATTTTTCCTAAAATTTGAAAATCAACTTAAATTCACACTTTTGTGAATAATCATGCAGGCGATCAAAGCAGCCAAAAACCAGACATAAACAGCTTATTGTATAGCTTTCTTCCAAGCAATTATAGATCAATATTTTAATATACACAAAAGCAGCCATAATTCTGTGATAGAACACCAATAATTATCGCCAGGGGCGTTGTTAGGTGTCAGAAAGATCTAACTTACTAGATATAAGAAAAAGTTCATTTGTTGGTTCCTCCCACATATATTGACTTAAAATCCACCCAAACCAGCCATTTACTATGCTTCATCCCGAAAACGTAATGTGTTCTATGATACTGCACCTAGACCACTTCAATGAAATGAAGTGATATCAGTGCCTATTGTAAAATTGAACTCCAAATCTCTCCAAATCTAAGACTCTCTGGGTATTACAGGAGACTCGGGGCTAACAATGATTTGGTGCCAAAATTCGACTCAGGGCTTTTCAGGACTCCACTCAGTGCTCCAGCCCCTGTCAGTCCACTGCCCTGCAATGCTCCTAATTATAACTTAGCGTCTAAACTCATCTGGTTACTTTGGTTTCATTCAAAATAGGTGAAATCTGTAAGTGCTAAAGAAATGCAGTGTTGGACTAATTATAACGCACTAATGAAATGCAAAGATTTTGTGGTTTATTAACAATGTACTCAGCACAGTGTAATAATTTTAATACTGTATTTACTAAGATTCAGTGTTAGAATGATTTATTACAGTGTACTTTTCAAATACAGCACTACAATTATTAATAGATGGTTATAGGCTGTAATAAGTGGAGGGATGTAATAAGTGGGGGGACTGATTAACAGCCAAACTGTATGCCAATGAAGTGTTATTGTGTTCTAATACAGGGATTCAAGACCCATTCTACCCTTAGGCAATAATGGAGTCCACTGTGAAGCACATGGCCTTTCACCAGGCAAAACCAGTTGGGTTGTTGATTGTAACAGATACCCTGTGCCTGGTCATTGGATGTATAACATTGTTACAGTTGAACTCACAGTACTATACCCCAAACATACGAATTTGGAAACTACCAGCTATGTTAATTTGTTCGTATAACCGAACAAACAACCGAACAAACTGTCGAATGAGAGACCACCCAGACCAGTCGTTTGCCGCCAATTGACTCACTGACTCTGTGTCAAACCGCAACTTCAACATTCTAAGTGGTTCACTGGGTGGCATGCACGAACACATGGCGGAAGCCATCTTGTCGACGATTTGGTCGTGTAGTGTCTGGAACTGTTTCCAGGCACTTGAACTCCCGAGCACCGCTGAGACTTCCAGGACCACTTAGATTTGTGCTAATTCATACGAAGGAGGCGGCGTTCGGTAAAAACACTATACGAAGGAGGCGGCACACAACCGTCAAACTCATGAACACTGTGAATGGTTGATCGGTATTTTTAAACATACGAAAAGGGAACGGCCGCACCGACTGAATGCATGGAACTATTTTGGGCAGGAGCCACGTGTGCGGCCGGGCATAAATGGGACTTCCACCTATCTCCCGAACTCTTGAACCGAATCGCATGATTTTTCAATATGTTGGTCCCCTAATTATGCCCTATCAGAAAATATAGGTTTTATGGGGATTGGATGTATGTTTATGATATTTCTGAAAATGTGTAAAAAGTTTAATTTTTTCGCTTGGAGATAATTGAGTTGATACAGTAATTAACTCAATTATCTCCTAAGCAGAGGGGAGAAATTTCATGTAATGAATGGAAGTGTTTAACTTTGTGATTGTACACTATTGGCTGTTAAATGTATTTTTCGGTGTATAAAAGGCCAGCCTAGCATATTAAACTCTTAAGATCTGCTTAACCCTCAATACGTAGCCACGTCTCGTGTTTGTAGGGAACCTTCTTCCAGCTAATCACTACCTCTTGTAAGAGCTCTGCTATTCTTTCTCTACTGGTTCGGCTGATGGGACATCTGGAGAATATTGCAGTATAGCCTCTCGCAAGGGAAAAGGACGTCTCCAACGGCATACACCCCTCTGATACACAGGGTGGCCGTTACATTGATAAACTCCTCCTCCATTCCCTTCCAGTGCAATCATCCTTCCCCCAGGAGGCACTCTGGTTCTGTTACATCCCAAGGGATTGACTGAGGGAAGTGTGTCCAGCAGAAGGAAGGGCTAACCTGTTAAAAGCCCTGTAAATAAAATTCTCTGTCTCTTTGTATTCACCCTCCTCACTCTCTCTCTATTCCCTCTCCCCACTATACACACCCTCTCTCTCTTACTCTCAGCTGATGATCAATGGAGTGGTAACTGTATCACGTGTCTATGCCTGTTTTCCTATGTTAATTTAGTTTACTTTCCATTCAATCAATGACTAGGTTAGGTAGCAACATTTACTAGCCTAATTCATATGTATATGTATTGTTTATTTGTTTGATTAGCCTTTATTAATAAATATTATTGAATTGCCGAAAGCAAGGAGTGTGGACTCTGACTTTACACTCGGTTTTTAAGCTATTATTTTTTGTTATTAATGTTATTATTAATTCCAAGTTTACACCAACTTGCGAGTTAAACGTTTAGTTCATAGGCTGCAACGTAAACACTAGCATTTCTCAGAAAAGGTAGTGATTACAGTGCTGAACTTGCAGGGACATGATCTATGCCCCTCAGAGTTCACATATTTTATAAGGAAAAACAAACTGGAAGGAGGATTTCTTAACATTATTTAAGAAACCAGTAAAACATTAGAAACCAGTAGTTTACAAAACTTCTGTAAATCTCCACTTAAAGAATTTAAAAGGTAGAGGTAAACACCTTTTGTAAACGCAAACCTTTTAAGGGCAAAACAGCCTCCAAAAGGATTGAGAAGTTCAACATGCATTATCAAAAATATATTTCAGTCACCATAATACTTATGATCAAAAATATTCCCTCCTGGATACAGAAAAGCCTGAGACCTCAAGTAGTCAAAGCAGATGAAGCCCCTGTTAAAAAAAATAAAATAAAGTTTATTTAAAATCCCACCCCCCTTTACCCATTTTAATTAAAAATTAACCCCTTCCCTGCCAATTGATCACTGACTACAGGGATTACATTTTACTGTCACCTGATTATTATTTTTTAACCCCTGAGGGTTAATTCTTTTTTTTTTTTTAACCCTCAGGGGTTAAATTTATTTTATAAATTAATTTAAGTATTTTAAAATTATATGTTTAGCTAGCTGGGATGGGTGGAAGTTAGTGGGGAATTGGGGGATTTGGTGTTAGGCTAACAAGGGGTTAACGTTAAAAAAAGATTTAAAATAAACTTTAAAAAGTTAAAAATTAAGCTAAAAAAAGTTACAAAATAAAAAAACACCCCCTTTGCCCAGTCCAAATAAAAATTAACCCCTTCCCTGCCAGTATTATACTGTGATATAATTTTTTTTAACCCTCAGGGGTTCAATTTATTTAATTAATTAATTTGAATATTTTAATATTATATAATTTGCTAGCTGGGGTGGGTGGGATTTATGGGAAAATGGGGAATTTACTGTTAGTACTGCTTACTGCTAGACGACATAGCTGAGCAACATATGAAGTATTATACAGTCGTAGCACATGTAAGGTTTGCAAAATATACTGTGAAAACTCACTTTGTGTGTCAAAAAGGCAGAAAAAACACTTATTAACACTGCACTTGGTACAAGCTAGCGGAAAAATGATCCCACGCTAAGGTTCAAAATATGCCTTTTGAAATACCCTGGCGTGTCTACTTTAAGAAATAGTATGGCTTTATGGGGTATTTGGATTATACAGCCTGGTAAAATACTCTATAATGGGACATGGGCACAGCGTAAAATTGTAAAGTTTGAAAAAAACTGGAATAGCTGTGTCCCAAATGTGCCCCTCCGATGTCCACATATACCTGGCAAAGGTACATACGGGGGTTTTACTGTACTCAGCCGACATAGCTAGCAACATATGAAGTATTATACACTGGTAGCACACATAAGGTTTGCAAAATATACTGTGCAAACTCACTTTGTGTGTCAAAAAGGCAGAAAAAACACTTATTACCACTACATTTGGTACAAGCTTGCGGAAAAATGATCCCACGCTAAGGTTCAAAATATACCTTTTGAAATACCCTGGGGTGTCTACTTTAAGAAATGGTAGGCCTTTGTGGGGTAGTTTGAATTTAAACCTTGCTAAGATGCTTGGAAATTGAACATAGACCCAGCGTCAAAATTCAAAGTTCGGTAAAAACTGATATGGCTTCGTCTCCTATATGGCACTGTAGCTTCACGAAATAGTGCCAAAGACATTCATTGGGGGTGTCTTTTTACTCAGAAGACTTAGCCGAGCATTATTATTTGGGGGGTTTGAACTTAGTGGCACATGTGAAATATACAAAATGCCCAGCAAACATGCAATCCATATGTAAAAAACGCACAAAATTATTTTTTATCACTTACTTTAGCATATATTGGTGAAAAAATGGGGGCATGTTAAGGCACAGTATGCACCTTATGAGATACCCTGGAGTGTCTACTTTTACAAATGGTAGGCCTTTGTGATTTTTTTTTTTTTTGAACAGTTAAACTGGTATAATACCCCAAATGGAAGCATAGGCTCATCAAATCTGTCTCTCAAAATTCTACTGTGAATACTGAAAAGGACAGGTCTCCTATATGGCACTGTAGCTTCACGAAATAGTGCCAAAGACATTCATTGGGGGTGTCATTTTACTCAGAAGACTTAGCTGAGCAAAATTTGGGGGGTTTGAACTTAGTGGCACATGTGAAATATACAAAATGCCCAGCAAAAATGCAATCCATGTGTAAAAAACGCACAAAATTATTTTTTACCACATACTTTGGCATATATTGGTGAAAAAATGGGGGCGTGTTAAGGCACAATATGCACCTTATGAGATACTCTGGAGTGTCTACTTTTACAAATGGTAGGCCTTTGTGGGCTTTTTTGAACAGTCAAACTGTTATAATACCCCAAATGGAAGCATAGGCTCATTAAATCAGTCTCTCAAAATTCTACTGTGAATACTGAAAAGAACAGGCCTCATATATGGCACTGTAATTTCATGAAATAGTGCCAAAGACATACAATGGGGTGTCATTTTATTCAGCAGATGTAACTGAAAACAAAATAAAACTTTGTACAGGAATAGCACACACCAACTTTACAAAATACACATGAGAATTTCTTTGTTATAAGTTTGTGTGCCAAAAACAAAAAAAAACACAATTTTACTCCAATATTTAGCAGAGGTTGGCGGTGAAATGGCTACGTAGAAAGTGTCAAAACAACCTTAGGTAAATAGCCCGTGATGTCTACTTTATATAAATATATACGTTTGTGTGGCAATTTTGTTTTCTTTTATGGCTATTAAGCTTACAAGACAAACATACCAAATTCTAAAATCGCTCCACATTAAAAGTTTATTTTACTCCTTGTGCTTTGTGACCTGTAACTACCAAAAAAAACTTAAAATCCCAGACACATTGTATATTCTGTAAATCAGAACAACTAAATTAATTTATTGTTAATTACTTTCCTTAACCTGCACTAATTCTGCACACATTATTATTGCACAAACATTTTCATTTTTTTTGCATTTTTCTGTAATTTTTTTTTATAATAAATAAGCATTTATATATATACGTCTTACATCAAATTAAAGCCCTTTCTGTTTTTTAAAAAACGGTATATAATATGTGTCGGTGCAATAAATTAGTAAAATGCAAATTGCAGTTGAATGCAAACAGCAAAAAATGAAAAAAATGCTGTTGTCATTAAGTGAAAGACAAGCTTCTGAAGCTCTGTCCTTAAGGGGTTAAAGGGTTACTCCAACCCTTTGCCAGTATATATACACAAGATCCGGCGCACTCACTTATCCACTAAACAGCAACTTCAAAGCTCACATATTTTATTAGGTTTTTTTTTGTTTGTTTTTTTAAACACTTAATCTAGGCACAAATAATGGGAGTTTAGTTACAGTATATGATCACACATTGCATAAGCCTGCCACAACATCAATGTACCCCATCTTTTGCAGGGCATAACCCTGCAGGGCATGATCAATACATAAGCTCAAGTTGTTTTGGTGACTATAGTGTCCCTTTAACTAATTAATTTGTCTGTTAACAATTTTGTAACCTTGTAACAGCTTAATGTTCTTTTAGCATCCCCAGAAATCTTTAGAAATGGAAAAGATGGAAAACAGACCACACTACAGCTTAGTTTCAAGCTGACATTCCCATTGAGTTTTGAATTTCACAGAAAGTTACTCCAGACATTTTTTCGCTTTAATAACTTTCCAAGTGTGCAAAGTTTAAAGTCTTTTTAGGTTTTTCACAGCTATGAACTTTTGGCTTCCCTTCTCGTACACCTCCCTGCCATGTACCAGTCTCTGTGCTGTCAGAATCAATTTCTCTGACTCAAGATTCCTCCAGTTAAATGTCTTGAGAAATTGCTGTGGATGAAAGCGAGTTGAAGAAAAGGTTATGTTTGCTCCTGTTGAGAGATTTCTCATCTCGCTTGAAGGTGGGGGATTTTGTCAGAACTTAAAATGTGCTGATGTTGAACATCACCATTACCCAATCTCTGCCAAAATTAACAGGCTCTTTTGAGAGAAAGTAGGTTAAAAATGCAGTCTAGTGTATAGATAATTGCATCCATTTTTCATTATTTCAAGGCAAATATAATCCCACTTGGCTCACAGCAAAGACAGACGGCAAATCAATAGAAGACAGGAAAAAAATAAAAAAAACAATAAAGCAGCATTAACACAGTTGTTTAAAATTCAATTGTTACCATAGATTTGGACATTCTGTATTTATTAAGACAAATTAAATAGGAAGAGTTTCTTTGTGGAGTAAAGGCTGGCCAACGTGCTTTGTGGAGTAAAGGCTGGCCAAAGTGCTAACACATCTACGGATCTAAAAAAAAAAAAAACTGTCAAAATATCCACAGCCATAGGCTGCATGTGGGACCTAGTACATTAGTATTCACGTCTCACTACTGTCATTTATCTGGATAAACTATATGGAACATCCAACAAAAGTCAATTACATTTTACAGACATATCTTTACAATGACCAAATAAGGACCACACCAATGGGCATTTCAAGTCTGTATCACCACTGGCTGCAAGTGGAAAATAGTATATTGCTGTTCAAGCCTCATTACGGACCTTTTCTTGGATAAACTACATGGAAAATCCAAAAAAGAATACGCCTTTCACTTATGCCCATACCAGAAACAACAACCTGCATGCTTGTCACTTGTTTTATATCCTCATTGTCATCCAAAGACTATTGTCACTACCACTGGCGCACAGCACCTTCCCCTCCTGGCCAATGGACTAAAAGTACTCTTTTTCTAACTATAACCGGAGTCCAGAAACCGCAAAGACTTCAGCGGGACCTAGGTACAACTCCTCTGGAACTCCGGTCCAGCAGTGGTTAGCCCCAAATTCCGATTAACTTCCAGTCTGGCTTATCCCCACTTTCCTTGCAGCCACAATAGCGTTTTTTGGAGGGAAGGTGCCTCAGACTATTAATTACAATCGCCCCCTGGGAGCCAGAGGGAGCACACCTTACTTCATCCGCAGGAGCTTCTGACATTTGACCGACCGCAGCCATATTTATTACAGAACTCTTTTGGGCATGGATCACGTGTGCGGTCGTTTTAAAACTTTACCCCGGTGGCGTTTTGTTATTTCTTTATGGATACGGGCGCTTTTTGGCCAAAAAGGGCACTCGGACCAGGGCTATCCGGGGACATATAATGTGTGTATGTTTTATTATGTTTTCAGGGCGTTTTTGTATGAGGCGCTCAATATTTTTACAATTACTCAATATGCTCCACACCAGCTTTCAAATGTATTGAGGACTTTGCTTTGTTTTCATTGCATGCCCTATTTCCTGGGGCAGTGGGCTTTTAAATTTGAGTATGTTTTTAAAGGTTTCTTCAGGATCAATTTTTTAAAGTGACAAGATAGATTTATTACCATTTTTATGCATTTTAAGGAAACTATATTTCACAATAAATGTCACAGAATGCTACATGTCCAACAAGCCACAAAGCAGTAGGTCACAAAACCTCAGAGAACATGCTAGTGTTTCAACATGTGTCAAACTACATCTGGAAGCAATATCAGAACAAGAACTGTTTGATTGAGAACTTAATGAAATTGGTTTCCATGGTCAAATAAACACACGTGAGCCCAATTTCACTGCTGAACCCTGCCATATGCATAATTGGCAGTGAAGTTCAGTAGATAGCTTTTTTAAAATTATTTTTTGGGCAAAGCTGGTTAATTAATACAGCGAATGAATAAACCTAATTTGTTGACCTGGGGAAGGAACGAATTTAAAGGAAATCAGGGAAAACTAGAAGTTGCTTAACAGATTTTTATTTTATCTCTTTGAATCCTGAGCACATTACATATTACAACAGGACTATGAATAGCAGGGACCTTTGGAAGATAAGATAGTCGTAATAACCCAATTTACACAGTCATTCGTTTTCAACCAAGTGTCCAATACAGTTACAATAACTCACTAATATTCACAATCACAACTAAATTGGCCACTGAATTTCAAATCTGGCACGGAATCTGTAGCAATTGTGGAGCCAGAACAAAGCAATGCAGAGGCTTCTTCCCAACTTTCCAGTTTGTCCACCAACAGAAGAGTTAAAGTATGAAAAATATTTTGTATGTTATCTGCCAATCAATGCCACCGGAGTCAAGATATCATTAAAGAGGCCAAATCTTAAAGAACAGAACTCTTAAAGGAACACTATAGGGTCAGGAACACAAACATGTATTCCTGACCATATAGTGCAAAACCCACCATTTAGGTGACTTAGCCCCATTAAAATGTAATAAAACTCACTTTATTTCCAGCGCGCATCCGCTGGTGCTGGCCCTGCCCCTTTGGTGACATCATCAGCATTGACGGTTTTTAGCCAATCCAATGCTTTCCCATGGGAAAGGGGGAGGGGCCAAATGGCATTTCACTGAAAAGACAGCGTTTGCATGAAAATGCCTGCATAAACTGATTATACTCTCCAGAACAACTACATTAAGCTGTAGTTGTTCTGGTGACTATAGTGTCCCTTTAACATATGTTAGCAAGGTTTGCCACTGCTGCTCTAGAATAATAGAAATCACATTATAAAGACATGCTACATGCACTAACACTGAACTAAAAGTTTAAATACATTTCAATATTTTTTTCTTAAAATTGAGTTGGAAGTGAAAGGCAAATATTTTATGATCCTGGAACAGTCATACACAACAAATATAACATGGGGCAAGGGGTAAATGGAAAAAGAAAAAGGTTTTGTCCAGGGAAATACAGAGGAATTGTCAACAATGATAATCATTGCATTACTAGTTAAAGGAACACTATAGGCACCAAGACGACTTCATTTCATTGAAGTGTTCTGGGTGCAGTGTCCCTGTCCTCCTGAACCCTCACTTCCTCAAGTCGCCCAAGGTCACACTGGTCTATGCCAATTCTGCTGATGGCACTGGTGGACATCTTCCAATTTTGAATTGAAGCAAGCATTTACCTTTCATCTACAGCACTTGGCTGACCACTGCGTCTACGTTCCTCAACGTTGCCCCTTTCTTGTGGTTCTTCAGAAGATCATTACAGTGCAGTGTTAAGACTGTCTCTAGTGGCTGTCTACCAGACACCAGACACATCATGGTTTGTTAGGATTAAGATACAATATGCAGTAATTTCTGGAGAGTGGATTAGCCATAGTGCTTGTGTCCCTCTCTCCAATTTAACTACAAACACAAATGTAGAATGTGCAAAAAGATTCTTAGTCAATAAAACATTTTCTTAATGTTCCAATTTAAAAATGTTGCAATTAGTAAGTTAAAGTCCTCAATAAACATTTGTTGTAAAAAAATTTTTTTTTTTAAATGTTGAACTTGGATTCTTTCGCCAGCACAGTTAATGTGTAAACCATTCATGACTTACACATTGATCTGGGAAGAAACTCGTTTTTCCAGCTTGACACACGAACACATCAAACAGATTTAGAGTAATCGAGAAAAACTGAGCTAGTTTGTTCTAAACGAGGCAAGCTAATAAAATGGCAGACATGCCCCCAACAAGGACATAGATTCAGTATATATTTTTATAATTATCTATTTTATGTCTGGCACAATATACAGAGAAATGCACATCTCATAATTATAGATTATTGCTATAACGGTTTTATAGTCTGACAAATTGTTGTGAAAGAGGATTAGTATTATAAATTGTGAGGAGCAGATAAGGCAGCCAATTAAAGAGGGAATAACAGAAAAAGGAATGGTGGGGAGAGAGAGAGATAAACCTTAATTCTGGAATAGGGCTTGTTACACTATTGTTACACTATTCTGAAATATCAACTGTGGTAAAGCTCACAAAATAAAATGAACAGCCACTGCCAAAGACAATATCTCCTCCTCAATTATTAGATAATACAAAACATGAACTGTTCTTGACTGACAAAGACAATTCTTTACATATTTTGCCATTTATTTTGCTTAATGTTTAAAGTGGTGGCAACTACCCTTTTATATGCGGATCGGAACACTTTGATAAATCTCCTTTTTCTGTGTCCATAAATGTAACATTCCGCGATTAAAGGGTCACTCCAACCACCATGACCACTTCTGCTTTTAGCCGGTACAAGAGTAGTTGTACACTTCCATCTCGAAACTCAACATCTAAAGTCTGCAATAAAACACAGAGGTCTTTTGGAACCAAGTGCTTTGGTCTGATGAAGTAAAAGTCAACTCTTTAGTTACAGTCATCAATGATACATTTGGAGGGGAAAAAAAGAGGAGAAACATTAAAGAAAAGAAGACTTTACCAAGTGGGTGGATCTTTGTCTGCAGGGTAACAACCAATAGCCAATCAAATAAAATGTTATATTTAATTGCTTAGTCCACAAAAAAAGCAGGTTGTTGGGGACGTATAGACAGCACTGTCTCGCAATGTACAATACATCCATTTGTTTATCTATCTTATCCATCTGTCTGTCTGCCATTCTAGCTAATTAAATCCATTATCTAAATTTAACGAGCATATACTTTAATTACATACATTAATATAAAGTAGATTTTAAGTATTTCAAGTATCAATGATTGCAACCTGTTCCTTCAACCTGCATTCAGGATATCTGGAATAGCCCACATCTGTACATAATGTCTTGCATTCTTTTTTTTTTTTCTTTTTTTCAAAAGTTGCTATGACAGAACAGTACTGTTCTCTGGTTACACTAATCCCCTGGGTACCTACCTGCCTGCACATGTGCTCTCTGCTGATTAAACCCTGTAAGAGCAGGTGGTCCTTCCTGCTGCTTCCTTCAGATGTTCTGTACTGGAGGGGTCTACGTTAGGCACTAACTGGACCTGTAATATTTTTACATTGTGCTCATGTACATACCACGCATTCTTTGGGCCTCGGAAGGGTCACGTGTCTGGCACAACTGAGAAAAAAAATTCAACGCTAAACAAAACTAGAATAAACAAGAATCAAGGTGATGAGCACAGATAACAAAAATACACACATGGGGTGTTATTTTTCCCAGGGCTAATTCAAGTAGCAGTTCAACGTTCTAAACAGAAATATACGAATTTCAGAAATATTTCTGCTTAGAGTAAAACGGTACTAAAAAGGTAAAACTGTGTACCCTTTGAGTGCACAGAAAGCAGAATTCTGCGATCATATAGTAAGCCGATAAGGGTAAGGACTCAAGGGTAGCACTGTACAAACATTTAAGATTAACTATTAAAAAGGCTCACAGTGGGATCATGTACCAATCTGCATTCAGTTTATGACATAATAGTCATTATTATCAGCATATACCGCAACATGGTAGATATTAGAGGTAGAGAGTATGTTAACCTGTATGTCTCTGTCACCATGGTGTAATAATTATTATGGATGTGGTTAAAAGCGATTAGAACACTGAGGTACCTGGTCCATTTACTTAAAAACAATCAGAACACATGCCAATACTGACCCAATACAGACTCAAGAAACATGCTAATATACCTCTCCTGTTGTATTTGAATAGGGTATACCATATATACTGTTGTTTTGTACTACATTGCATTGTAGCTGTGTTCCTGTATTTTTAGAAATAATGGTTCATAGTTTATAAACTACTATTGTGGTATTTGGAAACGTGGTGAAATACAACCCTTGTTATGCAGAATTGTGGGATATATATTTATAGCACTCCAATTGGTTGTACAGTGGGGACATAGAAACATAGAATGTGACGGCAGATAAGAACCATTCGGCCCATCTAGTCTGCCCAATTTTCTAAATACTTTCATTAGTCCCTAGTCTTATCTTATAGTTAGGATAGCCTTATGCCTATCCCACGCATGCTTAAACTCCTTTACTGTGTTAACCTCTACCACTTCAGCTGGAAGGCTATTCCATGCATCCACTACCCTCTCAGTAAAGTAATACTTCATGATATTATTTTTAAACCTTTGTCCCTCTAATTTAAGACTATGTCCTCTTGTTGTGGTAGTTTTTCTTCTTTTAAATATAGTCTCCTCCTTTACTGTGTTGATTCCCTTTATGTATTTAAATGTTTCTATCATATCCCCCCTGTCTCGTCTTTCCTCCAAGCTATACATGTTAAGATCCTTTAACCTTTCCTGGTAAGTTTTATCCCGCAATCCATGAACCAGTTTAGTAGCCCTTCTCTGAACTCTCTCTAAGGTATCAATATCCTTCTGAAGATATGGTCTCCAGTACTGTGTACAATACTCCAAGTGAGGTCTCCCCAGTGTTTTGTACAATGGCATGAGCACTTCCCTCTTTCTACTGCTAATACCTCTCCCTATACAACTAACCATTCTGCTAGCATTTCCTGCTTCTCTATTACATTGTCTGCCTACCTTTAAGTCATCAGAAATAATCACCCCTAAATCCCTTTACTCAGATGTTGAGGTTAGAACTCTATCAAATATTCTGTACTCTGCCCTTGGGTTTTTACGTCCAAGATGCATTATCTTGCACTTATCCACATTAAATGTCAGTTGCCACAATTCTGACCATTGCAAATTACTGTATAGTAGTAACGTTCACATACTGGTATATCTATTTTTTTAATTATTTTTTACATTCTTAATTTTTTTAGTGCAGTGATAAACAGACAAGCTTGTATTGACAAAAAAACAGACAAACTTTACAGAAAAAAATATCTGCTTATGTCAAACATGCCGCTCTTCGTTGTTTTCTTTATAGTAAATTAAAATAAAATCAAGCAAAACAAACAACTTGTTAGAGAGCATACGAAGTAAATGTATAGCATATTGTAACGTTGGTTGTGTGTCGAGAACACAGCTAGATAAAGTAGACAATTATTTCAAATATTCCCATGAGGTCCCGTAGAGCATTATATGAGAAAGAGGAACTGTGTCGATAGACCAAATTATTACTTGATGCTAAAAGGAATTTATGCAAATAAAGTGCCCCAGCAATACTATCCTGTCGGGAAAGGACCAGAGGCCAGGGAAGTGGGGAGTTTGTAAAGAGATACCCATTGTGTCCCCATCACCGGCCCCAGAATCTCTTGACATCGAAGGACAGGGCTGACCAGCAACTAGGACTTCCTGCAGGTATATCCACCATGCTCCCATTTTGAGGTGTTGCAGGCAACACCCTTTAGCCATAGCTGTGTCTGCTTGATGCTTTGTTGCTGTATTCCCTCCGTTTCTTTAGGGCTGTATTGGTGCAGGAGCTGTGTGCGGTCCGATGACCCCAAATGTCTGAAGCCTGCAGAAAATCAGCCCTTTTGTGCCTTTGCATCCCACGCCAGCTAGCAACGGGGCCCTGGAATCCTCCCCGACTCCCGAATCGGTAAGTTGGTAAGAGGCATGAGCGGTTGTTGGATATTTGTCTTAGAGTGAGATAGCCTAGATGGCCAGCCTCTGTAAGAATGCTCACATAGGCGATAAAAGGTACTCAGCATGAACATGGATGGTAGCTATCTTGGGATCGCCGGTTAAGTGCCTTATCAGGCAGCAATTAGGAAGGTGACTAAACTGTGGCAGACCTTGTGGTTGTCAGCTAGGCCAGGATCACCCCCACCTGCCCAAAGTTGGGGGTAGGGGAGCCAAGGCAATTACTGGAGATCTGTGGAACGTGGAATGAGGAATCAGCTGCCTCTCCAACCTCGGTCACCCAGCAGGGTTCAAAGAATCTCACTGTGGATTGCATCTGGCTGATAAATAAAGATCAGTCTCGAGCACTGGTAGAGCACTTTGTGGACCTATTTAGGTCAGTAAGCTGCAGAGAACAGACATATATTGTGTCTTTCAGGCTTAAAGTCCCCAAGAATTTGAGGCGCTCCACCACCATGCGATTCCTCAGTTGACAGCCAGGCATCGCCCCTCTATATATCTATTTTTTCATAATTATTCTCAATAATTATTAAACTGTGGTAAATTCCTGCTTGTAATTTTCCTTTAATCTTGAGCAGATGTTTGATCACAGCTGCAATATAGGCATGTAAGTAAAGAACTAGTATGCGCGAGGCACAATCAAGGCAATCTGACTTGACAGAACCGCAGTAACAAAGATAGAGATAGTAGGAAAAATGTGTGAACTTCAGAAGATCCATAGAAGCTGAAATGACTCACAGTATGTAAAATATTTGCATACCATCATTGTACATAGCACAAGAAATAAAAAAAATAAAAATGGCAACGAGAATCCAGAAAGTATAGCCAAGAATACTTTAAGCATTTAAAACTTTCAAATATATTCTGATCAGAAAGAAAATCACTTGATTGGAACACGATCATGTTTACTTCTAGGTTTTGAGGTCTGTTCAGTAAGCTGTGTTGATCAGGCATTTTCTCCATCTCAGTTGCTGTGCAGGTGGTTTTGACGATAGGGAAGATGTGGCTACATCCCAGAATTTAAAACTCATATTGAAAAGCTGTTTACTGCTACCCATTATGTTAATCATTCTGTTAGATCTCCCACGGAAAGCGCAATATGCATTTATTTTAGGGATCTTGTTTTCCGTCGGATTCCCTCCTACTCTGTGTTCCATGCAGTTAATCATCTTTGGGGTGTAATATTTGGTCAATGTTGCTGTTTTCCCACTAATCACTTCTTATAAAAACTGAAGCTGCTTTATTCACAACACAACCAAGCAGTGTCAGAGTCTTGTCTGGAGCTTCTAACAAGAGTTGGGCAGGCCAAGGTGGTCCTTGACTGCGAAGGAACCGAGAGAGTGGTGGAATTTGCCCCCCTACCTGCAGTGAATTGCCACAATGGGAACATTTGAACTAGGTAGGTTTGGAATATGAATTCCCACAGTCACCATCCGCTAAGTACCAGAAGGAGCCCAGCTAGGCATGCTGATATACAATAAAAAATATATATTTCTTTTGTGTAGAGTTTGCGAACAGTAGAGTTCGTTTCCATGTAGATTCTCTGCCAGGAATCTTCACGATAAGTGCTGTGATTGCTGATATATAGAAATATAACTGTTATTGCTGTGCATCCATGTCTGCACCCTGTCCCAGCACCCAACTGACAAACTATCTGTACAACAAAACCAGTCATTGTGACTTAAAAACGGTCACCAGAGGTGCTTCCTGTGTCAGTGCACCTACATTCAGGGCCTCCACACTCTGGAGGCGCTGAACGTTCCCCATAGAGATACATTGATTCAATGCATCTCTATGAGGAGATGCTGATTGGTGTAGCATTTTGCAGCCAATCCTATGGCAAAGCACTGGACTGGCTGAGATCATCAAGCTTGAGGATCTTAGCCATAGAAGCAGGGCCAGTTGAGGGGAGACCAGCACGCTGCGTGGGGGGAAAAAGGTGAGCAAAAACACTATTTTTAAACACACATATACACCATGACAGACACAGAAACACACATATACCATGACAGATACACACCATGACAGACCATGACACAGACAGACCCACACACACACCATGACACAGACAGACACACACCCATATACCATGACACACACCATGACACAGACAGACCCACACGCACACCATTACACAGACAGACACACACACCATGACACACACACATTTACCATGACACACACACCATGACACAGACAGACCCACACACCATGACACAGACACGCACACCATGACACAGACAGACAGACAGACACACACACCATGACAGACAGACACACACACCATGACACACACACATATACCATGACACACACACCATGACACAGACAGACACACACCCCATGACAGACAGACACACACACACCATGACAGACAGACACACAATGACACAGACACACACACACCATGACAGACAGACAGACACACACACCATGACAGACAGACACCACGACACAGACAGACACACACACCATACAGACACATCATAACAGACAGACATATCATAGCAGACAGACACACCATGACACAGACAGACATACACACACCATGACACAGACAGACAAACACATCATAACAGACAGACAGATACATCATAACAGACACACCATGACACAGACAGACATACACACACCATGACACAGACAGACAGACAGACACACCATGACACAGACAGACATACACACACCATGACACAGACAGACCGATACACACCATGACACAGACAGACAGACACATCATAACAGACAGACAGACACACACCATGACACAGACAGACAGACCATAAGAGACAGACAGACACACCATAACACACAGTACTACTATCTGCCAGGGCGTCGTGCAGTTCAGACGGCTGTCTGTGCTGCCGGCTGCTGGGGGACTTGTGCTGGAGTCTGGCGGCCGCTGCGGGAGGTCTGCTGGCGGCCGCTGGGGGAGCTGCGCTGGCTCTGCTCTCCCGCCCTTGCGTGCTGCTGCATGAGACCGCGGCCGGAATATGACTTCATATTCCGGCCGCGGTCTCATTAAGCTGCGCGCTGGGGAGCAGAGACAGAACAGCTCACCCAGCGGCCGCCAGCAGACCCAGGTGTCTACCCGGCCCCAGGTGCCGACGGTCCACCGGGAAATTTCCCGGTATCCCGGTGGGCCAGTTCGGCCCTGTACAGGGCACATTTATTGCTCTTGTGAAGTACATGCCTTGACCCATCAGAGCCGTTTTGGCAGCACTAAGGGACCTACACAATATTAGGCAGGTGTTTTTATGGTTGTGGCTGATCAGTGTATGTGCATTCAGCTGGCACAAGCACCAGCATGTAGCTGTTGCTTTCATGAAAACCATGGACAGAAGTACTGGACAAATTCCCCTAAGGCTTAGGATCTCAGAAAATTGTCATTAATCCTTTGAGTGTCAGAGATGCTTGCAATCAGTGTGTTGGGCGCACTGTATGCTTGTAATGGACATACTGAGCTTTTCCCTTGCTCAATACGAGCCTGTGTTTGTGAGAAGCCTGTGATTGGACCGTGCAAGGCCCTGGAAGACAAAAACTTTTTTTTTGTAGGTTTGCTTTAAACTTTAGTGATGGACCTAATTAAAGCATTACTGTAAAATAAACTTTTTTCATATAGATATCAATCTATGTGAAATATTAATTTTCCAGGGGGTGGGTGACAATGATGTTGTATTTGTGCCCAATAGGGCATTTTACATAGAAAAGGTTCCCCCTTAAAAAAATAAAAAAGGGTTGATGTAAATAACATATTAGCTGTTTAATTAGCTGCACACAACAATAAGCACAAATACACACACAAACATCAAACACTATCTTATCACACTAACACTTGAAATTTATTTTATTCTCCCTAAGCTGTCCAGAGGTGGCGAGATAGCTTTTAATATCCCTTTGCTCTCTTTCTGACTCACAATTAGGAAGCAATGGTATTTGAACTGTGAGTCAGGAAGGATGCTGTACCAGAGAATCTCAAAAGTAATCCCAAAAGAATTCAAGACACACATGAAATGTGTCTATATTATTTGTCTATTGGACCCATCCCTCCTTTTCCAACTCTGTAAAAGTTTCTGTCTGCTATAACATTTGCAATCTTTCTGTAACTTAATTTTGAATAAAGCTTCGTCAATAAAAAGCAAAATCATTTTGTATTATTTCTGAGAAGAGAGTACGGGCATGTATGACCTGGACAGATTGTTTCCTACATTGGATAATCAAGAAACACGCTCCTTGGACCATTCTTTCATCCAACAGATAGCTATAAGGTGTTTGTGTCTATGGGTGTGCAGTGTGTGTGGGGGGAGGAGGGTAGGGAGGCTTTTAAATAATGTTTATTTTTATTTAATAATATAAATATTCGTTATGTCCCCCCTCCCTTCCAACCTTTACTGGGAGGAGGGGGGACACTTCTTAGTCCCTGGTGGTCCGGTGGGGATTCCATGGTGGTCCCAGTGGTAGGAGTGAACTCTAGCCCGCGCTCCAGGGCGAGAATTCACTCTCGTGAGATTTGGAGCGTTGCCATGGTAACCGTGGCAACGCTCCGTGCTCACGAGGGTAGGACCCAGAGGAGCTGCAGGCTCTGATCTCCCCTTCGATCCGTGAAGGCACATTGCACGGCTGGCACTTGGACAATGCCAGCCCTGCATTAGCCGGCAGGGGAGAATCTTGGGGGGGCAATTGCCCCATTGCCCCTCCCCCCTGGATCCGCCACTGTCTACAAGTGGTATTTTATTTCCTTTTGGTTGGACTGTTTACTGTGGACTTTTTATTTTATTTTATCTTATCCCATTGTATTATACATTTTCATATTTCCAGAGATTTTTGTACTGGCGCTACATTTTTTAAGTTTACTACCTGTTAGGATAGTTGGAAACAGTTGCTTGCAGAGCATAGAAGCATAGAGTAGATTTCTTCTACAGTACAAAAGCAGTTTATCTCTTTTCCTCCTACATATACGCATTCCATCTACTCTACAGTATAAAACCAGTTTATCTCCTCACCTACAGTATAGAGAACAAGCTCATCTCCTCTCCTACAGCATGGAGAAGCAGCTCATGTCCTCTCATACAGTATAGAACCAGTTCATCTCCTCTCCTACAGCACCAAACCAGTTCATCTCCTCTTGTACAGTATAGAACCAGTTAATCTACTATCCTTCAGCATGGAGAACCAGCTCATCTACTCTCGTACAGTATAGAACCAGTTAATCTATTCTCCTACAGCATGGAGAACCAGCTCATTTAATCTCCTACTCTATAGAACCAGTTCATCTCCTCTTCTACAGTATAGAACCAGTGCATCTCATCTCCTACAGTATAGAACCAGCTCATCTCATCTCCTACTGTATAGAACTAGTAAATCTCCTCTCCTACAGCTTAGAACCATCTCATCTCCCTCTCTACAGTATAGAACCAGTTTATCTCCTTGTCTACAGTATAAACCAGCTCATCTCCTCTCCTACAGCATGGAGAACCAGCTCCTCTCCTACAATACAAAAACAGCTAATCTCCTCTTGTACAGTATATAACCAGTTCATCTACTCTCCTTCAGCATGAAGAACCAGCTCATCTCCTCTCGTACAGTATAGAACCAGCTCATCTACTCTACTACAGCATGGAGAACCAGCTCATTTCATCTCCTACTCTATAGAACCAGTTCATCTCATCTCCCCTTCTACAGTATAGAACCAGTTTATCTCCTTGTCTACAGTATAAACCAGCTCATCTCCTCTCCTACAGCATGGAGAACCAGCTCCTCTCCTACAATACAAAAACAGCTCATCTCCTCTTTTCCAGTATAGAACAAGTTAATTACCTTTCTTACAGGATAGAACCAGCTCACCGACTTTCTTAAAGCATAGTAGAAGTTGAACTACTGCAGAGAATATAATCCCCCGGTGACAGGATAATATAATATTTACATATACTATATATGTTAGTTCTGATTTTGTTTTTTAAGAAATACAGCAACCGCGCAGTAGGATTATGATGAGTTTCTGATTTCAGCAACACGTACATATGCTGCTTACACGTGTCCCACATTTTCCACAGATTATTAGCATTTATTTTGGTTTCCAGGAGTTGGCAACATTGCAGGTTTCTAGACAAGCTGCCTAATGATAGCAGACAGGAAGTCATGTGAAGGGCGAGGTATCTATCAGTGCTGGGAGGGCTCTCTGACCCTAAACGTATTAATCTGCACAATGGAATTTAATGTGGCTCAAAAACATCATATAAAATAAAAGAACGGCAAGATATAACATTTTGGGTTTTTAACAAATGTCATCGTCTTTGGACTGACTGCACAAGCATTGAAAGTAGCTGGAGTATGGTTGATATCAGGTGTAAGGTTTTATGTTGGAGTCCGTGAAACTACAATTTTATGGTTAGTATCCTGCAGTAACACTAGTGAAAATTCTGTCATTCACATCCGTCATAAGCGATGATCGTGGGATTCAATCATGGTCTCGCTCATCGCAAGATGTCATCTGTGGAAGCTCCTGCGCTATCATAGGATCCTCCATAAATTTCCCTGATGAGGCTATTAGGAAGTGAAGTGCAAGGAACTGAAGAAGACCTCAAGGAAAAAGATGGCAGTGGGCGCAAGGGACAGTTATTTGTATGTAAACCTACCTTCTATTGCATCCCGCAGCCAACATACCCTAACCAGAGATTTCACAGATCTGCTTTAATAACTGGGAGCAGTGCTGCCTCCTTCTTCCGGGTCTCTATTGTTATCATTGTAGAAGTTTTAAATTCTCTGGATTTGCGGAAAATAATGACGTTTGTTTTTTTTTTTTTTATGCATGATCTATACAACATAAAAACTGGTGTTCAACAATGACTTGGTGTGTCATTTTAAATGTTTTAATGGCTTTATATGCTTTTTTGGAAAGCCATTGTGTACTGTAATATTCCATTCTTTAGTTTTAATCCTTAGGTCAGTAAGGCTTTGCTTTTCCTTTACCAAGGGCAATAAGTCGAAAGCAATTTCTAATGACTATTTTTATCTTCAGGATTATGAAGTCTCTGTGATTTAATAGCTGGTAATGGTTTATATTCATGGCATCTGGCTAACGAGATGCAAAAAAACAGAGATAAAGGAACATATTCTACGAATAGGATTTAACCAGTGAATGCTCAGAGGCTAGAAAATTATTAAACCAGTTATTAGCAGATACTGAAAGCTTAGCTATAATAGGCTGATGGTGAATCTGCATCGAGGTTTCCATTTTAAGGACAGGTAGCCAAAAAATATATAAAAAGGCTGGATAATACTAACCATAATCAGAGGTTCACCATATCAGATAACAGGTCCTAAAGCAATGAACATATAATTTATCAGAAAGATAAATTATACACTGAATTGATTTAGGAGCTGTTATGGCCTTACTTACCTCCTGTCTAATGTGCCTGCATTGCCATGATTGCATACCCCTAACATCTGCATCTCGTGGATCACCTTGCTGGCACTGCCCAAAGAGGGTAGTCTCACCCAGAAAGGGGGCAGGTCCGCATGATGAATTGATATGCCAGGCTGGGATGAATGCATGCCAGGCTAACTGTCAATCATCCAGGTTCATCCAATGTGTCCCACCACCAACTTGATCCAGAAGTATCCTATACATTCAAATAGTGACGTGGTAGAAGATATAACATGAGACTCTCCAGGAGACTTTCCCTGACAGCCTGTGAATGGAGATCTGAATGTTAGATATAACGCCCATTCTCATTTCAGCCTTGGTCTTGCACCTCCCTGGTGCTGCTGGCCCTCCTTGGGAGCAATTCTCCAAAAAGATAAATTCTACCCCCTGGTACTGACACCTTGACTTTACTCCTAGCTCATTGAGATCAGAATGAAGTGACATATGCAATCTATTTCTATATTCTCCTTTGCAAGCACAAGACATGCCTGCTAGAGGAATACATGTGACAGAGAGTAGGACAATCATCTGCAGAAGGGTTCTCCTGCTCTGTTTTGTCATTCATTTGTCACCATTGACCTCTACGCCACCAGCATAGTATTTCTGATAACCCAATTTATGGATACATTTAATTTAATACTAAGTTGTTTGTACCATGAGTGATGTAATGTGATTTATTGATAGTTAAAAATATATATATGTTTATAAAAGTATATATGGAAAAAAGATTTATATACATTTTATTTAACGCGGTGCGGTCTGGTGTGTACACACCGCACAGGCATCCTGAATTGCTGAATTATGTCCCACGACCTCCTTATTCTGCCATGACCCGACTGAACCTTATGTATAGCCTGAAACCTGTTCATTATTTCCATTTGTCTACTGTATGGGTACCTCTTGAACCCTCTTTCTACTTTATCTGCTGCATGAGCACCAAAATCTTAATCTTTATCTTAATAGAGTGGTATTGGTGTATGGATCATGCCCCTGCGGTTTCACTGCCCAATCATCTGCCTTTTAGGAGTTATATCACTTTTGTTTCTGTTCATGCAGCCCTTGCCAAATGTGGCCTGACTAATACAGTCTGCATGGAAAAAATAGTTATATATTTTTTTAATCAGATGTTAACTTGCTTTAGAATTTTTATCTCCTGCTCTGTAAATTTAACTTTAATCACACACAGGAAGCTCCTGCAGACTCTTGAATGTCATTAACAGAACAGGAGATAAATTCTAAGTTAAACAGAATGTGCAATAAAGGAAGTGTAAATATTAGACCTATATTTACAGGAAGTGTTTAGGGAGGCTGTGTAAGTCACATGCAGGGAGGTGTGACTCACTGCATGATCTAACTCCTAAATGGCAGAGATTGAGCAGTGAGACTGCAGGCGCATGATCTATACATCAAAACTGCTTCATTAAGCTCAAGTTGTTTTGGTGTCTATAGTCTCTCTTTACGGCACACCCTAAGCAATAAAATCACTACAGCTTAATGTAGTGCTTTTGATGTGAAACAACTGTCTCTGCGGTTGGCCAATGTAAACCCTGAAAAGGCACCTCTGGTCAGGCCCGGACTGGCCATCGGGCACACCGGGCAAATGCCCGGTGGGCCGCGGTGGCCGTGGGGCCGAGGCCGGCAGGGGAGGTCACAGGATCTCCCCGGCCGGCTCCTGCAGGGCCGGCACTATCCGAGCGCCGGCCCCGCTGTCTTCCATGGAGGGCCGGTGGGGAGATCAAAGATCTCCCTCACCGGCCCATTTAAACAGACCTGCGGCTGGGGAGGGAGGGAGAGGACCCGGCGGAGCTCTAACTTGCAGCTCCGCCGGGTTTCTCTCGCGAGATCCGGAGCGTTGCCATGGCAACGCGCCAGATCTCGCGAGAGTGAACTCCACTGGACCACCAGGGATGATGTGAGTGTGCCGGTCCCCCTCCTCCCAGCTACCACCGTGCCGGACCCCTCCCAGGCAAAAGGTAAGGGGGGGGGGGGCAGATATAATGCATTTTTGTTGTTGTTTTTTTTTACCCTCCCAACACACAATCACTTTTAACATTCACACACAGCACTCTCACACACAGCACACACAGCACTCACACAGCACTCTCACACACAGCACTCTCACACACAGCACTCTCACACACAGCACACACAGCACTCTCACACACAGCACTCTCACACATCACACACAGCACTCTCACACACAGCACAGCATTCTCACACACATCACACACACTGCACTCTCACACACAGCACAGCACTCTCACACACAGCACACACAGCACTCTCACTCACAGCACTCTCACACAGCACACACAGCACTCTTACACACAGCACAGCACTCTTACACATCACACACAGCACTCTCACACACAGCACTCTCACACACAGCACTCTCACACACATCACACACAGCACTCTCACACACAGCACAGCACTTTCACACACATCACACACACACACAAATCACACACACTGCACCCTTTAACACAGCACCCACATACAGCACCCTTAAACACAACATACACAGCATCTTCACACACAGCACCCCTCAAACACAACATCCATCACACACACATACTGCACCCTTCATACACACTACACCCCTCACAGACACCCACTGCACCCCTCACACATACACGCAGAACCCCAACACACTGCACTAAACACACACACACACACAATACTTCCAAACATATATATATATTTTATATATATATATATATATATACACACACACACCACAGCACCGTTCACACACACTGAACCGCTCACACACATACTGCACCGCTAAACATATTACATTCCAGACACACACTATATCCCTTGCCCAACTATGGATCATATACACACACTAAATCCCTATATACACTCTGATTCCGTTATATACACACACTCACTAGATCTCATACACATTCTGGGTCCTTCAAACACACACTAGACTCCTGTATACACACACACACACACTGCACCACCTACACACACTACATTCCTAACATACACACTTTGGATCCCTGATACACACACACTAGATTCCTTGTAAACAAACACATGCTACACCCCTAAACGCACACTCTCTACAACCCCTACAAACACTACATCACCTATATACACACACACACTATAGCCTGTGTGCATACATTTACTACATCCCCTATACACACATTCTCTTCAGCTCCTAGCCACATATGCATTACATTACACCACAAACACAACACGACTAAAACCAACCTTATTACACAATACCAAACCACGACCAGCTCACTCTGCACACACACAATCCCAAAGCAGGCTCCATACACATGCACAATACGCTTTCCTTGCCCTTTTGTCTCCTGGTATCCATTTATAGAGACACCAGAGACAAGTTTCAAGGAAACACAATGCAAGCATGTTATTAAATTTGCTTGCACTGTGCAGAACAAATACAGGTTTTTTTTTCTTCTCATGCTAGAGCTCTTTAGCAGAGCTCTGCCCTGGAAGAGCATTGACCCAACGCTCACTTTGAGAGGGGGCGTGTTTGTCTTTGGTGATGACGAAACACACCCTCTCTGCCCCGCCCCCTTCTTAGTGGGCCGCTGTGCTAAAAAAATGTCCGGGCTGAATTTTTCTCCCAGTCCGGCCCTGCCTCTGGTGACTGTCATTCAGAGATCCACTAGATGTGCTTCCTACTGCAGTCCTGATTTACAAAAAGAGGATTATGTATTCTTAAACATTTATGGAACTGATCTAATTAAAAAATGTTGACATGCAAATGAGCACAGACAGGCATTAAAGGACCACTATAGGCACCCAGACCACTTCAGCTCAATGAAGTGGTCTGGGTGCCAGGTTCATCTAGGGTTAACCCTGCAGCTGTAAACATAGTAGTTTCAGAGAAACTGCTATGGTTACAAATGGGTTAATCCAGCCTCTAATGGCTGTCTCATTGACAGTGAGAAGATGCTGACGTCCATAGGAAAGTATTGAGAAATGCTTTCCTATGGACTGTTTGAATGTGCGTGCGGCTCTTGCTGTGCATGCGCATTCAGCGCTGACGAAGGAAGAGGGAGGAGAGTTCTCCAGCGCTGAAGAAAGGTAAGAGTTTAATCCCATCCTCTACCTTCGGCCCGGCGAGAGTGGGACCCTGAGGGTTGGGGGCCTAAAGACCCTATAGTGCCAGGAAAATTAGTTTGTTTTCCTGGCACTATAGTGGTCCTTTAAGGTTCAAACTTCACAGCTAATTGCAATGGACGCTCATCTGAAAGAGATACATAAGTATTCCTCTCCTTTAATCCACTGACAAACAAACCCTTGCCCAAACCATCCTGGCTTTTACAAATAAGAACGCCATAACATCTTGACCAGTCTGTGATTCCGGGTCACACCAGAAGCCTCGGTTTGTTGGAGCATAACATTCCTTCTCATTACACGCAGACCTGTATCACATGTAAGAGATGGTGTGATGAAGTGTGTATGTATTGTTGATCCTAAATCAGTATGTAAACCCTTAATGCATCGCTAATAACCTTGTATCAGTTCTAATGAAAGCGTTTTGCTGTTGTGTGAATTACTAGAAAATCCTGTGATTCAGATCTCCATCTCTAGCTGAATGAGTGGGCTCCTGCTGAAGGAAGATAGCTGCCATGGTTACAAAGTTTCGTCCGTTGCTGCGTGCCAACTTACATGCTTCAAATAATCTTGGGAACTTTGTGATTCTCTTTTCTCTCACTTGCAATCTGTAACGATGCTGGCAAACACACAATGCCTTTCTCCTATCTCTCTTTCCCCTTAGCCTGGAATGGCTACAAGTGTCAGGATTAGCGGTACTAACACCTACAGTAAATCTCAGTCTTCAATTTATATCTTAAAAACAGAGGAAGAGATTAGAGAACTCACCACTTCTTCTGCCAAGTTATTTGGGGAAAAATAAATACTTATTAAAATTCAAATTTTGTGATTGTGTAGCAATTAAATTAATTTTACTATAATGGGAAGAAAATTTTTTTACAAAACCCACCAGCCTCAAATGTTATTCATAATGATGAGAGGTTCAGAATGCACAGTCATCATCAGTTAGCAAATACCCTGCAAAGGGTTAGAAACATTGCAGCTGATACACAAACCAAATAAGCTACATGAATAGTTATCATGGGGAATATAGCAATACATGGTGCTTTTTTGACAGCTGAAGTGAATATCGTTGGTTATATCATTATCATTCAATGGTACATGCCAATGGGTGAGATATCTTAGTCAGCAAGTGCACAGTCCATTTTTGAATGTCATGTGTCGGAAGCAGGAAATCTGGGCAAGTGAAAAGATCTGAGTGACTTTGGCAAGGCTCTAATAGTGATGGCTAGACAACTGGGTTAGAACATCTTCGAAATAGCAAGTCTTGTGAGTTGTTCCCAGGATGCAATGAATAGTACCTACCAAAAGTGGTGTAAGGAAGGACAACCGGTGAACCGGCATCAGGGTCATGGGCAACCAAGGTTCATTGTTGCATATGGGGAACAAATTTCTAGAATTATTTAAATGAAGTAAGGGTTGCTAAGTCGGCAGATAAGGGATATACCCCAACATTTAAAGCTTTAGAAAAACTGAGATTTCTTTTAAACTATGGAGTCACATACGTCCCAACATTTTAAACGGACAAAAGAATTTAGGAGTGTGACAGTGGGTGTGGCCAGGGTTAGGGCTGTTCTGAGTAATTTTAGGTGATTTACTAAAAACAATTTATGCAACTAAAATGTAATTTAGAACAAAAACAATGTATCTTCTTTACACAGATTGATTTCTAAGTATATAGCACTGCTGAGTGATATTAGGATAGAAAGAGGGACAAAGGGCTTTGTGTCCAAATTAGGGACTGTTTTTCCTAAATAGGGACAATTGGAAGGTATTTAATCATATAGCTGCCAGTACCATCACTTGAAAAATGTAGTTAGGGAAGACCATTGCTCTATTACAGTCAATCTTGTCATGCCATGTGGGTTTTCTAAAGAGAGTTTATTCTTTAAATGCTCTTATTAAAATCTTTTTTTTTTTTTTTTGTAATATTTTTTTTCTTTAAATGTCCAGATTAAAATCAATCTAATAACACAGGTACTACTTTAGTTGAGGCCCTGTCTCTCTGATGGCTGTTTTACAGCAGTTTATGCTATTTTAGCCTTTTTTTTTACAACTCATTATACAATACATTATACTTGATTTTTGGATGACCTCAGCAATCAGCCACGTTACGTAGCAGGAAAAGGCAGTTAAAAATCTGGTACTGTTTCCAGGAAAGGACGTTCATAGTTTTAAATAATCTACACTTATATAATAGCAAAACTGGACACATTTTGTAGATAATTATTAAGACACAGCTTCACATTTTAGTATGCTAAAACACAAATACTGCTTATAACACCCATTAACAATGTGTCCTGAAAATGTATATTCTCTAAACTAAACCTTATTCAGCAACGACCACTGATCACATATGTACTGTAGCGGCCATTTCCCTGCAAGACTGCTATGGCACATGAATGCAATGTGTCTTTCTAATAATTATCCAGTTAAGCTGCTGAAAACGTGGGTTTTATTTTAATAAGAACATCATTCAGCACATCACTGAGCTCCCTTGGAGGACTGCAGTAAATGTTTACTTCAGAACAACGTCCATGAAAATCACATGCAAATCTCCACAGGTATCCTGGTAACGGAAAGTACATTGTAAGACCTGCAGCTGTGGAGGCTAGCTCCTGGAAGATGCCCGTATTCTATACCATTCTACGGTTACCATAACACCAACTCACAAACAAGTTTGGAAAAGGCTAGTACAAGGCAATTAAAGGCACAATGTAAGGACTTTGTATGAAATGTCTAAAATAAAAAAGAAAATGTGCCCAAAGAGCAAGAAGGGATGTCCTGAAAAAAAGCTTTCACCACCTCTGATACTTGCCTTCAAGACTTCGCTAGGGCTGCACCGTTCCTGTGGAACTCACTTCCTTCCTCCGTTAGATGCTCACCCAGTCTCCAACCTTCAAAAAATCATTAAAAACCCACTTCTTCATAAAAGCATATCAATTAAACTGTTAATAGCTCCCGACTGATTCCTTTCTTGCAACTGTATTAGTCTAATACTATCCTTACCTTTTGTGTCACTTTACCCCACTCCCTCTAGCATGTAAGCTCATTGAGCAGGGCCCTCAACCCCTCTCTTCCTGTGTGTCCAACTTGTCTGGTTACAACTACATGTCTGTTCGTCCACCCACTGTAAAGTGCTGCGGAATTTGTTGGCGCTATATAAATAATAACATAATAATAACAACATTATAATAACAATAATAATAATAATAATAAGGGGTAAATTCTGAGGAAAATTCAAACTAATGCGGCAGGGGAAGTGTGATGGTTATTGTGAAGTTCTAACCCATTAATACCCATTAAGAACTGTATTCTGACAACCTTTGCTAACTGCCAATGATACAAAATGATTCCATCTAAATGTATAAAGATCTTCAGACCCATCACCAACAAACAGACATGTTTCCAAATAAAAGATGTTAGACAAAAGGATGCACTAAGATGGGAACGTATGACTGAATATGACAGGCACTGGAAAATGGGCACAAAATTAAGAGATGTAGAACAAAAAGAAATGTAATTAAAAGGGCAAATTTGATGCAGCAATTATTTGTGTCATTTTATTGCTGGTGTAATTGGACCTGATTTTGCTTAAAATTGGTGCTTTGTGAATATACAGAATCCTATACATTGTAAAGGATTCAGATGCCAAAAGCACGGATTTTAATCCGGACACTGACTACACTCAAGCAAGTGTTGCAGATTCCCTCAAACCGGATGAATTCCAACTGGATTTGGCTTTAGTTAATATGAGAATTACCATTCTGGTCGGAATTCGGCCATTTTCACTGCATTTTAATTTAGATATATTGTATACAGAATGATAAAATGATATCCACAATGGACTTATTTCCCCCCAAATTCTCATTGGTTACATGGCCTCAAGGATAATATGAGTAGTAACATATGTTTGGCTATATTTGCCATTTTGCATCTACTGTTAATTCTACCTAGACCATCAGTTTGCTGGGACCACATTGCATTCTCGATGTGTATCTCCTCTCATGGCTCCTTAAATGGTCACAGTAGATCAGAGTTGACCCCTTTCTTTTTAAGTTTATCATGGAGATATTACATTCATAAAAAAAAAAATGTAAAAAACAAGTCCATGCAGACACGTTACCCTCTGAACATGTTAACATGTGTACGAATGGGAAACACTGAAAATATATTCTGTCCATAAAGTAAGAATTTACTCATTTTTGTTTGGGGCTTCAACTAGTAAGCCGTGATTAGAAATTTAACATAATTAAAAACCACAACCAATTACATCTTCTCACAAAACCTTACTTTAATGAAAAGGTCAGCCAACAGCACCCCTGGAGAGAGATGCACTTGATGAATATTACATATTTTTTGAAAATCTCTAAGATGTTTTTCTCTGGTTATTGAAGCCAAGAAAAAAAAAAAACGTGCATATAAAGGAGAAAGTGCAGTGAAATGATCAGCGGAAGTTTGAAACGGAAAACTCATAGAGTAGCAGCACTTTAATTATCTCCCCGGTGGATGTGTGCTTTCTGGAAAAGTTCTGAAAGTCCCGAGTAAAATACTCTGTGCTTATAAACATTCCATACATACGTGATTGACAATTTACAGTAAAGCAGTCTACTTCTCCTAAATTAGGGGAACGTACGTGCTACAACTTATCATACTGGTTATGGTGCTACAAGATGATGAGTGCAGGACTTTGGTTTTTGAATAAACTCTTTTCACATATTTATGCAAAAATGGAAAGATTCGCTTTCACACCCCACAAACCATCTTAAATTCATCATAATAAGTAAATTTCACTTCTTCATTATCCTTCCAGGTGTTTGTATGGCATGAGCACACATTTAGCTATGAGTCTCTGACCACTGGTTGACACGTTGAATTGGTTGTACAAAGCCACCCTAGCTCTTCATCTTCATGTGTCGATTTCACAGTATTGAAGGTGTCAGCAGCAATTTGACTCCATAGTAAGCCTACCACTACCTTATCTCACTGTACTTTAGTAAATAACAGTGGCATGTTCAGTGGCAGGATTAATTCTCTGAAAACTCCATCTACCCTTCTATGTTACTGTGACTAAGACATGACATCTTTGCTTGCACTGCTTGTGCTGTCAAGGTGCCTTCATGTTAGGGACCTTATCCTCTGCTATCCATATGGTAAAAATAAAAGCTTAACAAGGATTGTAAGTATGGTGGTGAGGCCACTCAAATATTGCGCATAATATTCAGAGATAAATATTCAGAGATAAATTCTAATACTGAGGCAGACTGATAGCAATGGAAGGGGCACATTGCTCACTGGCCAGAACTTAAAGGAGACATCTAGTAATGCACGTAGAAATATCTCAGATCACAAAAATATAGAACAGGTAGAGTCGTAGTTCAAGACGGAGGGAAGAGGAAGGTGCACTTGCAAGAGGGAGGGAAGAGAGTGGCCAGTTCTGAATGCCTCCACTTCAGAAGAGCTGAGTGGAGATGGCAAGAATGATGGTTACAAAGCAGCTGTGCTAGAGGAATTTTAGCATGGATTGGATCCAGAATGCAGGAAAGAGAAGACAGGTTACGGTGGTCGGGGACTAAATTATTAAGAGGACAGACAGGTCAAACCGCTGATCTCTAATCATATCAACCAAACACTTTGCCTTTTATTCATTGTTTGTATTCACCACTTCTCTGAACAAGGGAAAAGATTATTGGGAGTAGTAGGAGATGACCATTGAACCATACTGTAACAGTAATAAAGGCTGTTGACGGTGAAAAGGTCCTAAAGAATGGGTTCACAGGGACTAAATGTGCTACATCTAATAGTAAAACGGCAGTACGAGATCACAGAAATTTGGGCACAGCTGAAGTCTTGGTATAAGAAGGAAAGTTTTTAGAGCATTGTGGTCATGTTACACTCAGGTACAATATTTACATTCATGATAAACTGAACCTGCTTTACGCACATTTGCGGTGCTTAAGGAGTAGCTGGCTAAATGTCTAGAGACAGTTTCAAAGAAGGAAAACAAAACAGAAGGGACAAATAATGTCTAAGAAGGTAGGAAGAACTGAAAGGGGGTAGAACTGAGTGGAACCTCAGTAAGGTAGATAGGTGAGGAGGGAAAGTTCCAACTATAGGGAGGTACCTATGAAAATTTGCATGTACACCATTTAACTTAATTTTCGGGGATTTGCTAGTCTATGAAAATTAAACTTGACCTTATTAATCATAGTTTGTTGGCCCAGGGAGACATTTCTGGTGCCATATTGTGGTCAAGGAGGATTTAAATTCCAGTTTGGCGCACCCCTGTAAATCACTTCAAGACAGAATTTTCTTTGCCTTCCTTTGGGTCAACAGCAACAAAAGGCATGCATGAACAGATGACCTTAATGGTTTTAATTTTTTTTTCTCAACCTATATTACTATGCATATTATGAATGTTTTCAGCCGCAACATAAACTGAAAATCGATTGGAGCCCAGGCGGACGTAGCAGTCCTTGGAGTGAAATAATTCTAATTAACAATCCTGGTAAAATGTCTGTTCCAAACTTTGACAGCTTGTTGTCTGGTACAAAATAAAACATGGTGAACAATATGCTACATATCAATACACAACAGAAAACTAAGAGCGTTATTGATTCAGTCATGCAACTTGTTACTGTGCAATACATGCCAATCATTTTGATGTTTAACATAACAACAATTCTTACATGATAGTTCTACTCATAAGAAGAATACTTTGGAAGTTTATATTAAAGGAAACAGTAAATGGAAGATATCACCTGCATGAAATGATCTATATAATGCAGAGACACTTTTTGATGTATTTACTTCCAAACATGTCACAATTATATGAATCAAATATATGATATATACAATTTCTTAAACAAAATTCTTTAATTTCAATTTTAATGTCTAGTTCTTATAATTCAGCTAAACCTGGCATTAAATTAAAAGGACATTATAGTCACCAAAAGAACCTTAGCTTAATGAAGCGGTTTTAGTGTATGAATCATGCCTCTCAGGTCTCAATGCTCAATTCTTTGCCATATAGGAGTTAAATCACTGTCCATTCTGTCCATGCAGCCCCTAGTCACACAGTAAATGTGACTGACACAGCCTGCACAGGGGAAATGTTTTAATTTTCAGATGTTAACTTGCTTTAGATGTTTTGTCTCTTTATTTGCAAATTGAAACTTTAGTCACACACAGGAGACTTCTGCAAGGTACACTGCTCAAAAAAATAAAGAGAACACTTAAACAACACAATGTAACTCCAAGTCAATCACACTTCTGTGAAATCAAACTGTCCACTTAGGAAGCAACACTGAGTGACAATCAATTTCACATGCTGTTGTGCAAATGGGATAGACAAAAGGTGGAAATTATAGGCAATTAGCAAGACACCCCCAATAAAGGAGTGCTTTTGCAGGTGGTGACCACAGACCACTTCTCAGTTCCTATGCTACCTGGCTGATGTTTTGGTCACTTTTGAATGCTGGCGGTGCTTTCACTCTAGTGGTGGCATGAGACGGAGTCTACAACCCACACAAGTGGCTCAGGTAGTGCAGCTCATCCAGGATGGCACATCAATGCGAGCTGTGGCAAGAAGGTTTGCTGTGTCTGTCAGCATAGTGTCCAGAGCATGGAGGCACTACCAGGAGACAGGCCAGTACATCAGGAGATGTGGAGGATGCCGTAGGAGGTCAACAACCCAGCAGCAGGACCGCTACATCCGCCTTTGTGCAAGGAGGAACAGGAGGAGCACTGCCAGAGCCCTGCAAAATGACCTCCAGCAGGCCACAAATGTACATGTGTCTGCTTAAATGGTCAGAAACAGACTCCATGATGGTGCACCCAACACCGTGCAGGACGTTTGGCATTTGCCAGAGAACACCAAGATTGGCAAATTCGCCACTGGTGCCCTGTGCTCTTCACAGATGAAAGCAGGTTCACACTGGGCACATATGACAGACGTGACAGAGTCTGGAGCCACCACGGAGAACGTTCTGCTGCCTGCAACATCCTCCAGCATGACCGGTTTGGCCAGTGGTGTATCCTGGTTTTGTACTGACCTAGGCAGGACAAAACTCAGGCGCCCCCACCCAACCCTTCCCCCCCGCCCCACCTTCTAAATACACACACACACACACAGTCAGACACACACACACACACAGTCAGACACAAACACACAGTCAGACACACACACACACAGTCAGACACAAATACACAAACAGTCAGACACACACACGCACACAGTCAGACACACACACACACACAGTCACTCACATTAACACTTTTTTTTTTTATTATTTAACCCCCCCAGCCTCCTTACCATTGGGAGTGCTGGGGGGGAAGGGGTTCATTATCTCCCAGGGGGTCCAGTGGCTGCTGGGCGGGCGGGCAGGTGGGCGGCTGGCGAGAGAGCACTTTGCGCGCCGCAGAGTGAGGCTGGGAGCCGGAATATGACGTCATCAACCCGGCTCCCAGCCTCACTCTGCAGCGCGCAAGGGAGCTGAGCAGACAGCTCAGAGGAAGTGCTCCCTCGCCAGCCGCCTGGCCAGCGCCGCCCACCAGCCAGCCCAGCATGCCTGTCAGCCGCAAAGCTAACTAGGCATTTGCCCTGGGCATTTGGGGGCGGCGTTTTTTGCCGCCCCCTTAAAAATGCAGCCCAAGGCAAATGCCTTGTTTGCCTCGCGGCTAATACGTCCCTGGGTTTGGCAGTGGGTCAGTAATGGGTCAGCACATCTGGGACATCATGTCTCGCTCCATCCACCAACGTCACATTGCACCACAGACTGTCCAGGAGTTGGTGGATGCTTTAGTCCAGGTCTGGGAGGAGATCCCTCAGGAGACCATCCGCCACCTCATCAGGAGCATGCACAGGCATTGTAGGGAGGTCATACACGCACGTGGAGGCCACACACACTACTGAACCTCATTTTGACTTGTTTTAAGGACATTACATCAAAGTTGGATCAGCCTGTAGTGTTTTTTCAAGGGGAAAAGCCGCCTTACCGGCGAAACACGCGTCGTTTTTTTTTTGGGAAATCGCTCCCTTTTTTGAATTACCTTAGCCTGGATATAACTACCAATTATTATACTTTCGGGTGGGATTTAATCAGTACCGCTCAGCAATTTTCTGACTATAGTTTCTTGGGGCTTGGGTATGCTTATCAGGGCTTATTTTTTTACTACTAGCTAGCTTAGCCTTTTCAGCAGTGGTAGGTGCCCATGAAGGTACAATTAGACTCTTTTGTTTATCTAGACAGAAATTATAATGATCTATATAAAAGTATCTGCTTTCGTTCGTTCTACCACTAGCAATCAAATAGTAAAGAAGTGATCTGCGATTATAATATTAAGTAATTGTGCACAGTCATACGCTTATCAAGGCGTTTAGTAGATTCACTTCTTTTTTCCTTTGATTCCTCCTCTCTCCCTTCTTTTAGGGCTTTGTATAGCTAGCTAGTTTAGTTTTTCTATTTGAGGTAGGTGCTCATGAAGGCACAGACAGATTTTTGGAATACATTTTATTGTCTTACATTGGGAATTTGACTAATTAATTTTGCTTAGTTCCATGATGATAATATTGGACATATATAATTCCAAATCAATTTATATCTATATCTTTGTTCCTGTCTACCTCTTATAGATACACAATATATATGAGACAGACTTTATGCTTTACCCCTCCTTGAATTTTTAGGAAGGTGCAGACAGTTTTAGGTTCAGTATACCTTTGATGTGATATCTCTGTTCACAGGCGTATTACAAAACTAATATTTGAACCTATATAGCAACACTAACATTTTGTTGCACTGTGGCATAAGTAAAGTGAAGCTTTCAATTTGCAGCAATTTAGATACTATAACCACTTGTCTGTCGATTATGTATCAAGTGATTAATTTGTAACAATCTAGATATAACAACCACTTGTTTGTCATTTGTGTATTTCTCTTTATTCCCTTTTGGCATATCGAGATTTTGTGTAAATAATCAAATTTGTTTTTCAACCTTATTTTAATTGTATCATTATTAAAAGTTATCTTTTAACTCTATACATTCATTTCTACGGCAGTAGTCTTTTCTCTCCCCTTTTTTTTGTATTATTAAACATACCTGCAAAATATGAAAAAAGAATTACATCTCATAGTTCGTCCTTCGTCTCTTTCGAGATGAACACAGACAAACTGGTATGAAACAATTTACAACTGGCGTGCCCCCATCTTTCTTGTGGGGCTTTAGAAACACAAAACTGGACTGTCCCTGCTTGTGAGCAAACCAATCAGAGCACTAGTGACATTTCAAAGCATGGGAAAACCATTATAAAGTTTTTTTCCTGACATTGGGCTGAACTGTTGGATTTCATGTAGGAAAATGACTTAATCCACAGAAAAAGGGGAAAAACTAAATTTTATTTAAGTAAAATTACATACAGATAGGGACTTACAGAGGGATTTGCTGATTCGATTCTGGCGTGTTTCGTGCAAGATTTTGCGCATCTCTGCAGTGTTTGTTGCCTCAAGCCATTTATTATAAAGGCTTTTCCCATGTTAAAATCTCAGTCGGAGCTGAGTCATCACTGAGCACAAACAGGTACATTTTTTTTGTAAAGCTTTTTTTCAGCCGCCATTTGTGTCCACCCCCTTGTGGCATTAACACCCTCTGACCCAAAGCCCATGGATTAGGTGGAATGGTGGACAACAGCTGTTTGCTTTAGTACCCCCTCCTTTTGATTTTTTTAGTTGCCCTCACCCACTGCTCATGGGTGGGGGCTGTGGGCACAGTTGAAATTCAGACATCCAGACAAAATCTGGTGTTTAGTGAAAAAAAACTTCCAGTGTTCTATGGCTGAAACAATCACCTTGTGAACAATGCTGTGTATTTGTGTTGTGCTTGGAGAACAGGTGTTTTTTTCCAAACATCCATTTGTATGAGGAGATTGTACCTGTAGGCATCTTGTGAGTGCATTTCAAACATTAGGGGCCTCTTTTTTGCTATATGGTGTTTTTTCTCTGTATTGTATATATTTATCTGTTTGTTGAGGATTAAGAGGAATCCTTTTTCTACAACTGAAAGTAAAAAAGGGAAGTAATTACATTTTTACATTTATTATCTATCACTGCATACCGTAGGCATGTAGTCTACTACGTCTTCTGTAAACAAACAGCAAAATAGTTTATCAAGACAATTAGCAGTAGTGAAAAACATTCCTGAATACCATGGCCTGGGGATCAGGTTTAGTAGCTGAAGAAGGTCCAAAGACCACGACAGGAAACTCAGAGTTAGTAATAAACAGTGGCCCTGTAGTTATGCAGGCTTTCTGTAACAACCCTAGGTTGTGTGAAACACAGAAAGGTAAATTACGTAGAATAATCAGTCACTCCAAATTCCAGGGCAGATATGGCATCATCGTTGGTAGTATGTAGGACTAATACACTAATACACTCTGGAACTTAGTATCCCAGATACTGGGTATCCAGTGCACCAAATGATTAGCCAACCACTGCTGCTTTGCGTTTTTACTACGCATAATTACTTTTTGGCAATGACCTCTGTTTCTCCAGGGGTTCTTCTTTAGACGTTCCTCTCTGGAATCCACACAATTTGTGTTACAACTTATAGTGACTCCTCACTTCATAAGAATTCCCACAACAAATGAAAGGTCCCAATTGAAAGTATACTAGGCAAACTACACAGTTTTACAGATTTAATTTATGTTAATGAGGATATGCACTGAAAGGCATATTTTAGGATTTTTCTTTTTACTATGGGATCTTCCATCTATGGTCACAGTGATAATATGTTATTGTGTTAACTACCCTGATCTCAGATCTCTTGTAGATAAATCACTGAATTGGTCTATCTCTTGACCCATCCTTCCCTTCTAACTATCGTCCAATATCCCTGCTTCCTTTCTCATCAAAGCTTTTGGAAAGACTTGTCTTTGCCCGTGAGTCTCGCTTCCTCAATTCCAACTCTCTCCTTGACCCTCTTCAGTCTGGCTTCCGCCCTCTCCACTCTACTGAGACTGCTCTCATCAAAGTCACTAATGACCTAATCGCAGCTAAATCCAAAGGTCACTACTCCATATTAATTCTCCTTGACCTCTCTGCTGCCTCTCCTCCTTCAAACTCTTCAATCGCTCAGTCTCTGTGACTCTGTCCTCTCTTGGTTTTCCTCCTATCTCTCCCAACGCTCATTCAGTGTCTCCTTTCCCAAGCATACTTCCTCCCCTCGTCCTGTCTCGGTTGGAGTTCCCCAAGGCTCTGTCCTTGGTCCCCTTCTATTTTCTCTTTATACTGCCTCTCTTGGCAAGCTTATTGCCTCTTTTGGATTCAACTACCACCTGTACGCTGATGACACTCAGATATGCCTCTCCTCCCCGGACCTCTCCCCTGCCGTCCTGCAACGTGTCACTGCTTGACTTTCTTCCATCTCTGACTGGATGTCCACACGCTTTCTGAAACTCAATCTCTCTAAAACTGAACTCCTTGTCTTTCCTCCTCCAAATACTGATCCTCCTCTCTCGCTCTCCCTTCAAGTCAGTGATTTCAACATAAGTCCATCCTTGTAAGCACGCTGTCTTGGCGTCATACTTGACTCTGGCCTCACCTTTGAGCCTCACATCCAGTTTGTTGCGAAATCCTGTAGGTTCCAACTCAAAAACATAGCCCGCATCCGCCCCTTTCTTACGCAAGATGCGACCAAAGAGCTTGTCCATGCTCTAGTAATTTCCCGCATGGATTACTGTAACCCTCTCCTGATTGGTCTCCCCCCTAAAGCCGTATTGCCCCACTACAGTCTGTAATGAATGCTGCAGCTAGACTGATTTTCCTCTCTAGTCGGTCCTCTTCACACATCACCCCTCTGCCAGTCCTTACATTGGCTCCCGGTATCCTATAGGAGTCAATTCAAAGTGCTAACCCATACATTTAAAGCACTGAACAATTCTAGCCCCTCTTATATCTCCTCAATGATCCATAGGTATGCCCCGCCTCGTTCCCTCCGCTCTGCCCGTGACCACCTCCTGACTGCTGCTCGCACCCGTACAGCCAACTCGCGCTTGCAGGACTCTCGCGGGTGGCTCCTTTCCTATGGCAATAATCATAATAATAATAATAATAATCTATAGAAACTACCCTTTATAGGTGTAATTATAGCAATATGGGTTTTGTATATTGAGAAAATGAGAACTCTTGATACAAAATATCTCGTATCCCTTTCTCAAACCAGACTCCATGATGCAAATGCACATGTGTCCAATGAGACCCAACAAGTAAATGCACATTGTATATGGGTGTATACATACGTGCACATTGGAGTCTGTCATGCTACATGACTGCATGTTACGTGACATGTATGTAGTTTGTCGGCTTGATGGCAGCTGATAAACATCTACAGTAGCACCTGCCACTGCTGTCCTCAATATATGAAGTTATTCTTTGATTCATCAGGATATTAACCGTGCTTATCTGCAGCGTAATTAATTAAATTGTAGTAGTAAGATAGTTTGGTGTCACTATCAAGCAATAGAGTAAAAATAACTTGCATGAGTCAGTGATTGACTCTCCTCCAGGGAGCTGTACTTTCACAATCCCAGGTGCAATGAGTGTGGAATCAGCTATGTTTGACTGCACTGACCTACACACCTGCAGCTCGAACAATGGCTGAGGACTGTAGGAGTTAGTCAACAAAACTCTTCAATGCACCTGTCTCTGATGGCAGGGGAAGTAGAATACCATAAGGCATTGATAGATAAAATTGTTACCCCAATTGTTTCTGACAACATTTACCGTGATGCTCAGAAAACCCATGTAGAACATACTTGGCATGTATCTAGATGGGGTCCAGAGGGCACAGCGAGTGGTGGGACTAGTGTGATTATGTACTAGTGATGCAATCTGTATTATTGGTGATGAGGGTGTACATGAAAAGAGCATGCCATCATAGCATGCCATCATAAACAGCTATTTATGAAGCCACATAGGTTTGCCCATATATACAGCACTAAGAAAGCAGTCTATGGGAACTTTGTCACTGTTGGCATGTATAATTTGAGCCAGCTTGGCCAATTTGCCAGGCACTGTGTCATTCAGTGGCGCTAAGGTACTAGAAGGACACACCAACTTTGCACCCGGGTGAATTTCCTGTGAAGCAAACTGCATGAAAACTTGCAAAAATCCTGTATAATAATATGAAGTTAATTTTAACTACATTTGCACAATAAGAGCACAAAGCACAAAATATACTGTTAATGTTTTACTGTTATTTTTTTTTAATTAGTCATTAGACATCAAAGCACAGCAATGATAAAATCACAGGTTAGTATAAGGCGGAATTAAGCTAAATTAGTATTACTATACCATCACGGCGTACCGAAGAGCTTGCAATTCACTATACTTCAATAACAGTACCATTAGAAACAACTCTGCAAAATGATGGTTAAGGATTCCTCAGACCTACTGGACTAGTATACTAGTCTAGTCTGTCTTGTTTAGTATACTCAAACGGAAAATACCATTTCACTGCACTAAGACAAATCCCCCAAAATCTTAGCTTGTGATGAAGGATATTTCACTAATCAACGAGGCAGCTATGGAGTGAAACATTTCTGTGCTTTATCCCATCAAGATCACAGCTAAATAAGTCGCAGGCAATCGGTTAATGCAAATCATACAGACACATGCCTCCTCTTCCCAGTAGACATGATCCATCTGCTTATGTAATATCACAGTATCTCACAATCGCTACATAAACCAGTATATATATATATATATATATATATATATATATATATATATATATTAGTTCCTGTATCATATATAAATATATCTGGATTTATATGACATATACATAAATTTGTCTATAAATTCTATACACACATACTGTATATATGAAGCATACGTAGAAATATGCAGGCAATAAAGTACAAATCAAACCTTATGTGTCTGATCTCAACATTCTGTTGAGTTTTCAGCTACAATTTAGTTAATTTAGCCATTGCTTAGCCCCCTGCTCGGTTCCAGGTATCCTCTCTGCTTACCTCTGCAGAGCCTCTTTCCCCGGCCCCTATTACAAGGCCCACTCTGTCGTCCCAACTGGATTCTCCTTATAGCACTGTTGTGTCATCCTTCCCCAGTACCGCAGCCTGAATGAGGTTCTGCCAGCATCGTTATCAGACAGCAATGATCCGAGTGCTGGAGAATGCTCCCAGCACAGCATCAGCCAGCTGTATCAGCCGCTTGCCTTTCATGGCTGTATGTGTGTGTGTGTGTGTGTGTGTTTCTTTTTCACATTGAGTCACGTTGCTGTGTAGGACTCTGTGTTCAGCTGGGCTGCCTGCCTGAGTGGGTAGATAGGTGGGTGCAAGGCTTCTGTACCCAGCAAGATGTAATGTGTCACTTTGAGAGCTCAATTATTCCAAGAATTTATAGAAAAGACTGAGGAAATATAGTAAATAGTAGGGAAGTAAACGGTGCAATTGCTACAAAATCATACCAAGTAAGGCATATCCTAAATACGTCTATAAACTAGCATTAGCAAACAAGTACAAAAAAATGTAGTAAACGCACCAAAATAAAAGTTTAATGTGAAAAAACAGAAGACAATTTTGCAGTTAAATCTGACACATCAAATGTTCACAAAGGCAAAGCACTGCACAGCACAATGCAAGCCATAAAGCCACACTTACATCCTCCTTGCACAGTGTGATTTTAATGCAGCCGGCAAAATTATTGTCTCACCAGGACCCCATTCTGTCTTCTCTTGAGCTGAGGGTATGCTGGGCACCGCATGGATAGCACAGCCTGAATCTCCCAGTATTATACAGGGGTATTATAAACCTTTTAGGTGGGAGACCCTTCCAGGGTAAAATGCCCTACTGGGCACTATGGGGAACGTCCCCAACGTCCCCCCTCTTAATTTGCAGAAAAAGTTTTGTTGACCCAGAGTGCATGTGCACACTGTGGGCAGGCAAGTGGAGGGAAGGGATTGGATAGGAGGGAAGATTAAAGAAAAAAACATAAAACAAATATGCAACAGAGGGAGGAGGTATGGAGCGCTTTGTGAGAGGGAGGGTTGGAGAGGGTGCAGGCAAAGATTTTCCCCTCTGTAGGCATTGTGCAATGCGTGCTGATGACAGATCTTTTTTTATGCACAGAATTGACATAAGCAACCCGGAACAGAGATCATTTGAATTGAATTTACATGAATTAATTAGTACTCTAAAACAACAACCATTATGGGAAACAGCTGTTTATCTTTCCTCTATGTGCCATCTAGGCATCACACGTTTTAAATAAATGTTATGATAGTTTTTGTTCTACTGGGGCATTCATCAACCTATTGTTCCTTTAAAAATATTTAATCATTTTTAAATATTGTTAATTCCCTCACCTCCCCCCTTTAAAAAAAAAAAAAGCATGTAAAACACTGCAGGGTAAATTGGCGCTATACAAACGCCAATAATAATACAGGTGGTCCTCATTTAGCGACCTACCTGTTGTACGATGGCTCGCACTTACGACCAGGCGTAAGTGCGAGCCGTCATGGGGACTCCCTGCTCTGGTGCGCATGTCTATGTTCGGGGAAGTTTCCCCTAACATAGACAAATGCACCAGAGCAAGGAATCCTTTAACTCCTCACTTACCGACCAATTCGTTCTAGGACCGGGTCGTAGGAACGGAACCCGGTCGGTAAGTGAATAGTGTTTGTAGTATATTTTTAAACAAAACTAACTTGGTGAGGAAGGAAGAAAAGACTTTAAAGCAATGGAAACCGTGCACATCACAAAATAAAGAGAAAAAAAAGAAGACTTTGGGGTCATTTATCTGCCATAAGCGGTCACTATTACCCACAGCTTGTAGCCTCTTGCATTGACAAATGACAACGAGGTTTACAATTTTGGTCCAAACTTTTTATAACTCACCACTTGTAACTACTGACGCTACAGATACCATCCTCTCACAAATTAGCGGCTTGCTGTTAGAGCAGAAACACGAACATGACCATGTGAGCTTCACCCAGAGTAGCCAGTATCGATAGACATCTAGTGACTGGCTGATAATCAAGGCCGGCCTTAGGACTCTAGCTGCCCTGTGCAAAAAATCTTCACAGTGCCCCTCCATTGTCACACCCCTTCATCCATGTATAGTGAGTGCTTATAAGGGTGTAGTGTTTGTATAGGTGTTTTATTAGATTAATAATTATTAAAAAATAAATATTCTATTCCAGGTCACATGTGTTACCTTGCACGGAAGAGGGCATGCTGATCTCTGGTGGTCCAGTTTGCTGGGAATCTGGTCTGCACCTCCGCAGGGTGCAGACCATGAGTAACTGTCTTGTGAGCTCAGACACTTCCAATGTCAGAGATTTGCTATGGTAACCGTGGTTTGGCCAGAGCTCAGGAGACGACTACTCGTTGTCTGCAGCCAACCGAGGTGCAGGCCAGCAGTGCCAGACTGCCTCCCCAACATTACAGAGGGGCAGACTAAGAATTATATGTCTCTGTCACATAATAGTGTGAGTCGTTTTGCTTTGGAGCTCTGGGTTTTCCTTATGTACCTTGACATTCGTGGAATAAAAGCTGACAGTAATGGCCGATTTATTCATTTAACACTGAGCTACACAGCAAGAAAAAAAAAAAAAAGCCCTCACAGTACTATGTAGTGTGTACCAGTTTTATCAAAGAACTCCACAACAATAAAACACACAGTAATGTCCAATGCATGAGTATGTCACAGAGTTCCACAACAATAAAACACAAATTAATGTATATTTTGTATAACAGAGCTCCACTGTATCAAATCTATAATAATAATATCATGTAATGTTTGTATGTGTGTTTGTTATCTGTGTGTGATCACTGCTGTATTTGCCGTGAGGCAAACAAGGCATTTGCCTTGTTAGCCTCAGCGCAGGCGGCTAACTGAACTCCAGGTGGGCGGCGAGGAAGTGCTGATTTGTGAGATCTCCCTGCTCAGCTCCCTCGCACGCCACAGAGTGAAGCTGGAAGCCGGAATATGACATCACATTCTGGCTCCTGGCATCACTCTGTGACTCGCTGAGCAGGGAGAGCTCACAAATCAGCGTTCCCTCGACACCCACCTGGAGCTCAACTGACCGCCTGTCTGCCTGCACGCCTGCCCAAACAAACCGGCCAGCAGCCCCACTGGACCCAGGTAAAAATCATCCACCCAGCTCTCCCAAAGGTAGGGTGGATTTAAATTTACAGAAATTTATCTTTGCGTGTTTGGGGGAGGGGAAATGTGTGTGTGTCTGTCTGTCAGTGTGTGTGTCAGTGTGTCTCTGTCAGTGAGTGTATGTATGTATCTGTCAGTGTGTGTCTGTGAGTGAGTGTGAGTGTCTGTGAGTAAGTGTATGTCTGTCAGTGTGTGTCTGAGTGATTGTGTGTGTCTGAGGAAGCCTGTGTGTCTGAGTGAATCTGTGTGTCTGTCAGTGTGTGTCTGTGAGTGAGTGTGTGTCTGTCAGTGAATGTGTGTTTGTGTCTGAGTGATTGTGTGTGTCTGTGAGTGTGTGTGTGTGTGTGTCTGTCAGTGAATGTGTGTGTGTGTGTGTCTGAGTGATTGTGTATGCCTGTCAGTGTGTGGGTGTCTCTGAGTGAGTGCGTGTCTGTCAGTGATTATGTGTGTCTGTCAGTATGTCTCTGTGAGTTAGTGATTGTGTGTGTCTGTCAGATTGTGTCAAATCTGTGAGTGTATGTCAGTGAATGTGTGTATGTCTGTCAGTATGTGTCTGTGAGTGAGTGAGTGAGTGAGTGTGAGTGTTTGTGAGTGTATGTCTGTCTGTCAGTGTGCGTCTGAGTGATTGTGTGTGTCTGTGAGAGAGCCTGTGTGTCTTACTGACTGTGTGTGTGTCTGTGTGTCTGTCAGTGTGTGTCTGTGAGTAAGTGTGTGTCTGTCAGTGAATGTGTGTTTGTGTCTGAGTGATTGTATGTGTCTGTGAGTGTGTGTGTGCATCTGTGAGGGAGACTGTGTGTCTGAGTGATTGTGTGTGTCTGTGAGTGAGTTAGTGTGTCTGTCAGTGAATGTGTGTGTGTCTGAGTGATTGTGTATGCCTGTCAGTGTGTGGGTGTCTGTCAGTGAGTGAATGTGTATGTCTGCATCATTGTGTGTGTATGTCAGTGAGTGTGTTCGTGTCTATCAGTTATTGTGTGTGTCTGTCATTATGTGTCTGTGAGTCAGTGACTGTGTGTTTCTGTCAGATTGTGTAAAATCAGTGATTGTGTATGTCAGTGTATCTGAGAGTGTGTTTCTGTCAGTCAAAGTGTGTGTTAGTCTTTAACAGGAAGAGGTGTGGCCTTGACAGGAAGGGGCGGGACAAATCTAAATTAGGGGGTGCCCAAGTTCCGTCTTTCCTAGGGCAGCACAGATCCAAAATACACCACTGTGTATGATATGAATGCTATGTGTTGGCAGCCACATGCACACAGTTATACACATATACTGTCAAATACAGTCACATGCACACAGTCACACACAATGACAGGCAGCTAGTCACACACAATGTTACAGGCAGATGGTCACGCGCACACACAGTTATAGCCAGTCACAAACATTCACAGGCAGACAGCCAAACACACACACACACACTTTACACACACACAAAGTTACAGGCAGATAGTCACACAAACACACCCAGTTACAGTTAGACAGTCACAAACAGACAGCCACGCACACACACACACAGAGTTACAGGCAGGCAGCCAAACACAAAGTTACAGGCAGTGGCACACACACAGTTGCTGCCAGACAGTCACACACAGGTACAGACAGGCAGACAGTCACACACACACACACACAGTTACAGGCAGACAGCCATACACACACTTACAGGCAGTTAGCTAGGGGAACTGCCCTCTGTACACTGGGGGAGGGAGTGGAGACATGGCAATCCTTGGTGCCTAGTGGTTGGGAAAGCAGGGGCTCCTTTCGGTTTCCTCCTCAATGTGCAGCAGTAACCAGACAGAGGTTAGTTCCATCCCGCTGTCCATTTAGTTCTGCTATAAAAAGTTGTAACATTTTACATCAACTGCTTCTGTTTTTTTTTGTTTTTTTTTGTTTTTTTTTTATAAGAGTTCAATTTCCCCCCCTTATTTTTAGGTGACCTATTTTCTGAGGAAAAGACAAAAACCCTTGTGCATAGTTTGAAAAACGTTGAAATGCCATAGAGGATAACAGCAGGTAAATGGAATGATTTTAACTCACTGAATGTCAGATGGTTGTGCAATGTACCTGAGTGCATTCCCCTCTGGCACTCAGAGTCAGAAGTTCAGAGAAAGGTTCTAGAAGATTTGTCCCTTCTTGCACATAATTGTATAGGGGTGACATAAAAAATACAAATCAGATAAAGGCCAGGGCACCAGAGTAGCTCGCTGTGCTCCACTCACAATGCTATAGAGTAGCAAAAATATTGGAATAAGCAGCGGTTTCAGCTGAAATAAAAAGATCATATGGATCATACAATGTTACCTGCAAGTTCTGTGTATCACTGAAGCCCCTCCAATGTTTTATGTGTCTGATGTCAATAAGAAGATAGATCAAGTATTGTCACTGATAAAACCTCAGAGGATTCAGATATCCAACAGCTGAGGCTATTATGGGGTAGAAGATACAGTCTGGATACACATCATTTATGCCCTCTGCCCAGGACATTATATCAATGTCCCTTTAACAGATGAAAATCTATGGGAAGTTCTAAATGTTCTAATTGTTTGTTCTTTCACATGGAATATCTCCACTAAAGGGACACAGTGAAATGGTTCTCCTATCATCTGTTATCGTAATATTGGTGGATGGACCTTGTATAGACTTCAAGACATTTAGAACGTTGCCGTTTTATATACTTGCTCATTGTATACAATAAAGTGCTGAATGTGTTTTAGCTAATATATATCTAAACAATTACAATATATAAACACTAGCCTGTAAAAATGTAGCTTTTCTGAGGCTTGTAAAAACTTAAAATCATTTCAATAGTCTAATCTAGATCAGTGGTTCCCGACCCAGTCCAGGATTTAGGGATCACCTAGTCGTGTCTAAGGTGTTTTTAGAAAAAGAAAAAAAATAACAACCACTTTAGACACAACATGGTAATCCCTAAATCCTGGACTGGTAGGGGGTACTTGAGGACTGGTTTGGGAACCCCTGATCTAGATTATAAAAAAAATACAAAACATGAGTTGGGAGATGTTGAAACATTCAGGTCTACATATAGTTATACAGGTATTATAGTGAACCTCCCTTTACTGTGTTACTCTATTATTGTTTCATTATATGTAGTATTGTATTGTGTCAGTAATTACAGTAATGTAACAGCAGTGAACTTATTACCATACGAGTACAGGGAATCTGCTTCCATTCACACACAATAGCATTAGCAAGGTTGGGAATCGATATTGGATGATTAAGATTCATCGCAAGGAGGAGGATGAGATTGAAGGTAGGGCTTGGTACAGGCCAATCAAATTTCTTCCACTCTAATCTCAACTAAGCAATGCTGTATTGACCTCACTTGGTGCAAAAGGTTTATTGTCATTCTAAAGCAGAATAGTTCCTTCCCCAGTCATTACTACAAATAAATCCCATAAAATGTAATTTTATGCTGTTGATTTAACCCCTTAGTGACCAGAACGTTTTTCAATTTTCTTACCGTTTGGGACTAGGGCTGTTTTTTACTTTTCTGCTGTGTTTGTGTTTAGCTGTAATTTCCTCTTACTCATTTACTGTACATACACACATTATACATTGTTTTTCTCGCCAGTAAATGGTCTTTCTAAAGATACCATTATTTTCATCATATCCTATAATTTACTATAAAAAAAATTATAAAATATGATGAATAACATTTTTTAAAAACACACTTTTTCTAACTTTGACCTCCAAAATTTGTTACGCATCTAAAACCGCCAAAAACACCCGTACTAAATAGATTCTAAATTTTGTCCTGAGTTTAGAAATACCCAATCTTAACATGTTCTTAGCTTTTTTGGCAAGTTACAGGGCTATAAGTACAAGTAGGAAATTGCTGTTTCAAAATATATATTTAAAAAAAAATAATAATAACAAAGTATTTAACCAGGAAAGGTACATTCAGATTACTCTGGTTTTCAAGTACATCCTGGTTTTCAAGTTACCTTAGCCCTGGGAGGCCCAACCAGTCGATTACGATCGACCGGTCGATCGTGGGCTGATTCTCAGTCGATCGCGATGGCAGGAAGTGGGCACACATCGCTCCCTCCTGTCAGGCACACGTGTAGCGTGGCCGAGTGGAGTAGTGCGCATCGCGGTACAGGAACTTATGTTTCCTGTACCCTGCCGGACTGAACGAAATTGCTCACTGAGAGAGCACTTCCTGTCAGTCCAACCGGGTACAGGAAACTGAAGCTACTGTACCGCAGACCGCTTCGCTCGACCACGCTACCAGAAAGGTAAGAGACACACCGGGGATGGAGGAAAGGAACACTTTGGGACAGGGGAGGGGAGTGGAAGGAACACTTTGGGACAGGGGATGGGGGTAAAGAACACTATAGGACCGGGGAGGGGAAAAGAACACTATGGGACAGGGGAGAGGGGTCTGTCTGTAGTGAATATAAGAAAATAAACACACTATGTGACACGATGAATTATAAGGCTGCTTTCTGTTCCCAGTCCGGCTCTGCTGCCACTGTTCGTTTGCACGCACACTCACGCATACACAGCGCCGCACGGTAGTTAGTGCGCTGCGCGCACACGCGGTATCGACGTGCAGTGTGTGCCAGATCACAGGTTACTTGGTGTAGGACTCTCCACCATTAAAGTTTGCTAGCAACCCATAAAAATGGCAGAAGCCAAAAAATCTAAGACTCACCATTTTCATTCAGAGTGGGGGGAGGATTATTTTTTCTGTTTACTCAAATTCAAAGTCCGTTTGTCTCATTTGCAATCTCAGCGTGGCTATACTGAAAAAGGGCAATCTGGAGCAGCATTTCAGAACAGTGCACAAAAACTACGAGACAGATTTCCCTGCTAAAACTGCCTGCTGCTGGAACAAAAATATCCCAACCTCAGAAGATGTGCCTTGAACCTGACTGCACTTTTTGGATCAACTAATTTGTGTGAGACTGCTTTCTCTCACATGAAAATCATCAAGTCGAAGTACAGATCCACAATGACAGACATTCACCTTGTGGCCCGCCTAAGGCTTGCAACCAGCTTCTACTGCCTTGACTACGAGAAATTAGCTGCCTCCTCCCAATGCCAGAAGTCCTACTGTGGGGAAATACATTTATTGCCACAGCTCTGCAACACACAAACTACTTTTTTATGATATCTGAATGGGTTTTCTCTTTATTGTGTGCATGTTAAATGCACTGATAGGCAATGGACACGGCTTCCTATGTGAACTGGTAGATCTCCATGAGATGGCAACTTTAAATCTTGGTTCAAAAAAGGTTGGGCACCACCCAACATCCATGAGTTAACTATTACCCAAATTAATTCTTCATTGTATCTACCTTAGAAGGATGAAGGGCTGAGTCAGCCCTGCCAGGATTTGAACATGCACTCAAAGGGTTGAACAGATTCTACTGATGATGCATTAGCCCACTGAGCCCATCTCAACATCCTTGTATCACTAGTGACATTGTAACACTGTCATAAATCTCTGAATCACACCTCACATGGGCGGAGCCAAGCCGCTGAACTGCATGGACGCTACCCTGCAGTGCTCGTTTTCGCCAAAGCACAATCCGCCAACATCCACTATCCCAGTAGGCTCCAGGCTAACACAACCGTGTGCCCTATGAGTTTGGCACCAAGGGCTACAAGCCAATGCCCTTTTTATACACCCCAAATGGCGTGAAAACCCGCTGTAGGACCCGGGCCTACCATTCAGAAGGGAGCCCGGAACCTGTGTGTGGTCTCCACTCGATGCCCGAGTGGCACCTGCATGCTGAATCCACCATGGTGCCATAACAAATGCCCCAAGCCTGGACTCCCAAAGATACCGGGAATATAGGGTCCCTGTTACAACGGCCCCAGAGCCACAAAATGGTGGCCGACCCTGACCTGGAATCCAGCCTCCACAGCCCAGAGCTGAGCCCAGCGGGACAGGACAGATCCCATTTCCAGAGCCTCAGGCTACAGGGGATGACCTAACACCAGCCACAAAGCGTGACATAAGGCAGTTAATAAAATAAATAAAGCTGATGTTTGACGCTGACATGAATCTGGCGCGCACAGAAATTCAAGCAGTATCACAAAGAGTCCAGGCCACAGAGGAGGATGGACATTCGCCAAGAAATTAAAACTGTGAGTGATACTCTGCACCAACTGAAAGCCACTAACTCAACGCTCTAGCTCAAATTAGACACACTAGAGGACCGCAACTGGTGGATGAACATACAAATCTGGGGAATACCGGTCTCTGTGGGTCCGACCGAATTACCTCACTATCTACTGAGGCTATTGGCAACGATGCTGCCCCACACCCAGGCCAAAAAAGTCAAATTCAAAGGACATTTCCGCATCAATAAAGCAAACAGGTGCCAGTTATGGCCCCACAAGATGTAATTCTCCACTGTCACTGTATTCTACACAAACTACGCATTCTCACAGCAATCAGAGACAAGACCCCACTGGACTTTGAGTTGTCCAGGCTCACCTTTTTCCAAGATGTCATAAAGAATACACTGGAATGGAGAAAGTCACTAAAAGCCATAACTACACAACTCCAAAAAGCAAAAGTGGACTATCGCTGGCTGATGCCAAGAACCCCAGGAGTGACCCACCAGGACACTACCCTAAAGCTCACCACCATCTCGGAAGCTCCGGCTTTTTTGCAGGCTCAGGTACTTGCATCAGACACTAGAGTTCAAAAGGCACCTACCACCTCCACAGCCTACATATGGGACCTATAGAGATCGGTCCCGTTTACTCCCAGAGGCAGCTCCAGGAAAACAGTGATGACCTGAGGAGCACTGATACAGAGCCTCCGGGCTCAATTGTCATTCCTAATAACATCTTATCTAATACATATATGTCAGCCACAGTTATGTTCATGATGTTTATTATATTTTATTCATATGCTTTGCTTTGTTGTTTTTGTTGATCACCTTAAGTAGCCAGGGGCCCATTTATTATGCCTCACTACATTTACGAGAGCAGTACGGCACTCAGTCCTACGTACTCCGGACAGGACTCGACAACCCTCCTCCCCCCGTGACTCCTTCAGGTTAGGGGTCGACACTTGACTTTATCTAGATATGACAGAGCTAGACTATATACACTCTACTCGCCCCATAGAAAGCGCCATGGATTTATCCTCACCCATTAAGCCAGCTAGACATAACACACATAGGAGACCGCAGCCAGAGGAATGACAGCAACCTCCTAACCCTCAAATATAACCGTGTCTAAGCAAACTCTGATGCAAGTAGAGGGTGTGATTAAACCCTGCAATAGAGAGAATACAGATAACCACACCATATGGCCTACCAATAGCATAGACGGACATGACCTTTTAAAGTAAAAATGGTGCAGGATGTTAATGTTCTTCTTATATGAAAATGGAATGTATGATACGTTATCTTTCACCTCCTGATCGAATTTCCTCGTCATACCATGCATAACCTGTAACCTACCATCTGCACTACCAAAATAAAGAATTATAAAAATAAATTAGACAACACAGGGTATTCAACATGGGGTATGTCGAGTCTTTTTAAGTAGCCATTTAGTCACAAACACTGGCCAAAGTTAGCAATTATATTTGCAAAAACTATTATGAACGCTAACTTTGGCCAGTGTTTGTGACTAAGTGGCTGCTAAAAAAGACTGAACATACCCCATTTGCAATACCTTGGGTTGTCTTCTTTTGCAAATGGTATGCCATGATGGGGTTAATTTTCATTCCTGGGCTGCTATACGGTCTCAAAGACAACATAGGCCCAGCAAACCAATCTGGCAAATTTCAATGTGCAAACATGGAAAAGGGGAAAGCCTTACATTTGACCCCTGTAAGTTTGCAAAAACCCACAAAACCTGTACATTGAGGGCACTGTTGTACTTGAGAGATGTTGCTGAACACATATTGGGGTGTTCTTTGTCAGTAACACATAACAGGAACTGAGAATCCAATATGATAGAAAAATAACACAGAAAATGACCAAAGACAAAGACTGGTGGTAGAATTAATGCATGGAAAGTGTTTAAATACCACCATTTGAAATATCCTAGGGTGTCTACTTTAAAAAAATATATGGTTTGATGGGGGTAAATTACATTGGCCATCTTCAAAAATGTCCCAAATAGGACATGGGTGCATGATGACCAACTGTGAAAATTCCAAGTTAGAAAACTGGAATGTGCACCCTCCAAATAAGGTATTTTAGCCCACAGAGAACCCAACACACCTGTACATGGGTGGTATCACTATACTCAGGAGATGCTGCTGAACACATATTTGGGTGTTCTTTGGCAGTAATACATAACAAGAGCGAGAATCAATGCCTAAATTACAATGTGTGTAACAAATAACACAAAACAATGACTACCCAAAAGGTTGACAAAGACTGGTGGTAGAATTAGTGCATGGAAAGTGTTAAAATACCACCACTTGAAATACCCTAGAGTATCTACTTTTCAAAAATATATATTTTGATGGGGATAAATTACATTGACTGGCCTCAAAAATGTCCCAAATAGGACATGGGTGCACGATGACCATCTGTGACAATTCCAAGTTGGAAAACTAGAATGCGCACCCCCGAAATGAGGTCTTTTAGCCGCCACACCTATACATGGGGGGTATCACTGTACTCAGGAGATGTTGCTGAACACATATTGGGGTGTTCTTTGGCAGTAACCCTTAAAGTTCTGCATACATGTATTCTTAAATTGCTAAGTGTGTCAAAAAATCACCAATTATTTTTTTTTATTTTTTTTTATTTGGCATCGGTTGGTGGTAAAATGGTTGCATGAAAAGAGTCAAAATACCCCAAGTTTAATAGCTTAGGTTGTCTTCTTTCAAAAAATATATACATGTGAAGGGTTATTCAGGAATTCCTGACAGATATCAGTGTTACAATGTAACTTGCATTCCAAAAAAATGGTTTGGAAATAACAAAGTGCTACTTGTACTTATTGTCCTATAAGGTTCCAAAAAAAAGATAAGAACATGTTAACATTGGGTATTTTTGAACTCAGGACATAATTTAGAAACTATTTAGCACGGGTGTTTTTTGGCAGGTGCGTAACAGATTTTGGGGGTTCGAAAAAGTTTGTTTTTTTACATGTCTTCTTCATATTTTATAATTTTTTTATAGCAAATTATATGATATGAAGAAAATAATTGTAATCTTTAGAAAGACCATTTTATGTCGAGAAAAACTGTATATGAGTATGTATGTATGTATGTTAACGCCTTAAGGACTGGACTGTTTTTGCGATGTTGTACATTTGCGACCAGGCATATTTTTACACTTTTGTGGTGTTTGTGTTTGGCTATAATTTTCCGCTTTCTCATTTACTGTTCCCATACAAATTATATATTGTTTCTTTCAGGACAAAAGGGGCTTTCTTTACATACCATTATTTATATAATCTCATGTATTTTAATTTAAAAAAAATACAAAAATCTGATGAAAAATTGAAAAAAATACATGTTTTTTGACTTTTACTTGAAAAATCTTTTACTCATCTACAAAAGCGAATGAAAAAAACTGCTAAATAGATTCAAAATTTTGTCCTGAGTTTAAAAATACCTAGTGTTTACGTGCTTTTTTGCTTTTTTTTGCATGTTATAGGGCTATAGGTACAAGTAGGATATTGCGGTTTCAAAACATACATTTTAAAAATTTATCAATAGTGACATTGTAACACTATTATCTGTCATAAATCTCTGAATAACACCCCACATGTACATATTTTTTTTAAAGTAGACAACCCAGGGTATTCAATATGGGGTATGTCCAGTCTTTTTTAGTAGCCACTTAGTCGAAAACACTGGCCAAAGTAAGCATTCATATTTGTTTGTGTGTGAAAAAAGTAAAAAAACTAAATTGAACGCTAATTTTGGCCAGTGTTTGTGACCAAGTGGTTACTAAAAAAGACTGGACATACCCCATTTGCAATACCTTGGGTTGTCTTCTTTTGCAAATGGTATGCCATCATGGGGGTAATTCTCATTCCTGGGCTACCATACGCTCTCAAAGGCAACGTAACCAACCTGGCCATTTTCAATGTAAAATATTTGACCCATATATTTGACCTTGTAACTTTCAAAAATGCTATAAAACCTGTACATGGGGGGTACTGTTTTACTCGGGAGACATCGCTGAACACAAATATTAGTGTTTAAAAACTGGAAAACGTATCACAACAATTATATCATCAGTAAAAGTGCTGTTTGTGTGTGAAAAATGCAAAAAAAGTAACTTTCACTGACAATATCATCGCTGTGATATGTTTTACTGTTTTGAATCACTAATATTTGTGTTCAGCGAAGTCTCCCGAGTAAAACAGTACCCCCCATGTACAGGTTTTAGGGTGTCGTAGAACGTTACAGGGTAAAATACAGTGCTAGCAAATTAAATTCTCTGGAATTTCGGCCTGGGTTGGCAGGCAGGTCCTCAAATTGCAATCAATAAAATTACTGAATTATGTAAAAATATTACATAAATACGCACGTAGAATTTAAATATATATGCATATTTATATATTTGAAGTCTACGTGTATATTTATATAATTATTTATGTAATTTTGTATATGGACGTATGTATATTTCTTATTATTTTTATTTATTTTTATATACATAGATATATATACAAATTCATTCTAAGTGTATTTTGATATAAATATATATATATTAATTTTAAAATACAGTTAGAATAAAATTTCATATAGCTATATAATTTTTTTTAATTTTTTATTATTATTTTTAAAAAAAATTATTTAATTTAAATTACTTATTATTTATATTTTATAATAATATATATATACAATATATATAGTTATTATATATATTATATATATACGTGTGTAATTTAATTATAAGTGTATTTTTATATTAATATAAGTACATATTAATATAAAATACACTTAGTATGACATTATATATATGATATATAGACATATATTATATAGATATAATATATGTCTATATATCATATATACACATATATAATTATTTATTTATTTTTTATTAACATTAACTTTATTTTTATTTTTTTTATTTTACACTAGCAGGGAGACTGCCTGTCAGCACAACAGTCCCCCTGCAGGCAGCACTATGGACACCTATTGTGACCATGTGATCGCTGTGTTAAGCGATCACATGGCCACAGGGGTCCTAATCTGCCGTGGGGAGACTGTCTGGGCTGCAGGCAGTCTCCCCACAACCGGAGGAACACTGATCGCCGCCGGGGGAACGACGGCGATCAGGTAAGTAGCTCTGACCGTTAGGACGGTTCAGGACCGTCATCGGTCGGCAACGCAAAAATGCCGATGACGGTCCTGAACCGTCCTCGGTCCTTAAGGGGTTAAAATACACCTAACATTAAAATTATAGACTGATCATTTCTTTCTCAGTGGACAAACATTGAAAATCAGCAGGGGATCAAATACTTTTTTCCCCTCACTGTATATAGCCAGTTCCTGTAGGCTGAGCATTGTAAAGGCTAGCTTTTCTGAAAAAACATGGTGTTTGCATTGCTGTTTATGACCACCTTTAGTGGCTGTCACTCAGATAGTCATTAGAGGAACTTCCTGGGTTCCACTGATTTAATGCATCTCAATGATGAAATGCTGATTGGTCAAAGCTTTGTGATTTGCTGTGCATGCACGCTAGCCACCCAACTGGCTGAGATCATCAGGATTGATGATCTCAGATAAGGAGGTGGGGCAGCAAGACAGGGACCAGCATATCACAGGATATAAGGTAAGAAAATCTGCTTTTTTAACCCTCATGGGGCGATAGTCTAAATAGTGAGTAGAACACTATGGCATTAGGAAAACATGTTTGTATTCCTAATGCTGTAGTGTTCCTTTAAACGGTTTTCAAGCCACTTCAATGAGATGAAGGAGTGGCAATGCCTACAGTGTTCCTTTAAGAATCAATGTTGAACACCACGCTAGGTAAGACTTGGTAGTCAACTAGCTTCTTCAGCAAGATTTAGCATTACCTTGGGAAAAGCTGGTGATATATGTGTGTTCACAAGCTTGTGATAGTGATGTATAATTTCACCTGCGTATAACATCTGTGTCTATTAAACTAAACTATTAAGTCAAATCTATTTGTAAATATTGCCTTTAAAAACATTGTTATAGAGTGATGATGTAATGTTGCCCATTGTAGTGTTATTGCACCTTTTATAATTATGGGCGTCAGTACAAGTCTGGATACACACCACGCAGAAATAATCCTGAACCCACCTAACTACCCATAATTCTACATATCACCTCCATAATCACTAACCGACCCTGAAGTCAAATTTCTCCCTAATCACCACCCAAGCCTTACCTTACCCCTAACACCCACCGAGCCAAGCTTTACCCTAACGTCACCCCTTAGTGGCATGTTTTTAACATCATTCTCGTTAATAGCATGTAATGTAGTTGTGTTTTCATGGATGCAGCCACATTACTACTTCGCCATAAGCCAAGTAGACGTTTAAAACTCGCCGTTTCCATGGTGATGCCTTAAATGTACATATGGAATATGCATGGTTAATGTAATCTGTTTCCGAGCACTCTGCTGACACACAATAATGGTATGAGACAAATTCAGGTCACGCTGTCAGCCCACCAAAAGAGCCAGTGAAGAATCACAAAGATATGTATCAGTAATCAGTCACAGAACCTTTTATAATACATGCAAAAAATATCTTGCTAACAGCCCTATTGTCAAAACCATATGTGTCCCCCTATTCTAGCTCAGGATACTGTGTTCTATGTAGTTAAAGAGATAAGCAACAAAATAACTGAACAAGCCTATCTGTTAATGCACTACAGCCAAAGAATGCCAACAATTTGTGCTGCTCTATGTTTTCAAAAACGTTATTTCCCATTTTATTACCAGAATTTCCATCTGGTATTCAAAGCATTAAGCAAGATTTAGCACTTAGGAATAATTACATGAAGCAGAGTAATATAAGGTGCATATAACAGAGCTCTCTTGAAATGGTTAAACAGATTTTAAAGGGACACTACAGTAAGACAATATTCATAGAATGTTTAATTGTTTCATTATGTCAGGTGCAGGATTGTTTTTCAAACCATACAAAGAAAGGAAAAGCAGAATACAGATATTTGAACCCCAACATTGACAGCTCTCTAACTTCAGTAAATTCTCTTGAAGTGTTAAAGGAACACTATAGGTACCCAGTGGTCTGGGTGCCATGAGCCCCCCTGTTTAAACCCTGCAGTTAAATGTTTTGCCATTCTGCAGTAATGACAATGTTTTCTTTGCAGGGTTAACTTGCCTCTATGACAGCCACTAGAGGCAATTCTGTAAAATAGCAGTGAAAACTGCTACTATTTAAGTCAGATGGTCATTGGTGCAGTGATGCATTTTGTCGCGCATGTGCACTAGCCTTCCAATACTTTCCCATCATCGATGATCTCAGCCAAAAAGGCGAAGCTTCCCCGATGAGACCAGCGAAGCAAGGGCTGAAATGTATGTAAAATACTTTTTTTTAACCCTGGCAGCACTGGCCTGGTCACCTACACAGTTACTAAAGCACTATAGTGTTAGGAATACATATTTGTATTTATAATGCTATAGTGTCCCTTTATCTGTGGTGAATAACACAGTAGTGGTAAGTACAAACAAAACAAAAAAATCTAAAAAAACTAAACAATTTTCCTCATTGAGACAAAGTAGCCATCTTGAATTCTTCCAGCATGAGTTTGCAGATCAGCATAAATGAAAGAAAATATTTATGATGCAAAACAGCTTTTCCACTGGAAGATACGTTGTAGCAAACACTCATATGCTTAAAAGGATACTATAGGCACCCAGACCTCTTCATCTTATTGAAGTGGTCTGAGCGCAGTGTCCCAGATCCCTTAACCCTGCAACGGTAATTAATGCAGTTTCAAATAAACTGTAATAATTACCTTGGAGGGTTAACTCCACCTCTAGTGGCTGTCTATGCATTAAGGACATCCAGCGTCATGTAGAACCCCACAGGAAAGCATTATACAATTCTTTAATATAGGGGAAATACTCATGCGAGAGCGGGGACAGAGCCCGAACCAGTGCCGAGGAACATCGGTGTTTGTCTTGCTTGTCTGGATCTGGTTATAACAAACAGGGTTGATCTTTTGACCAACTTTCAAGCAGGAGAGCTCTTGGGAAATAGTGATCACATTATGGTGTCTTTGGAAATAAACTCAAAAAAGCAAAAGCACATGGGGTATACTAAAACATATCATTTTAAAAGGCCCAATTTTAATAAGATAAGGGCAGCTTTATAATATATTGACTGGCATAAACTCTTATGTGAAAAAAAACACTGAGGATAAATGGAATATCCTCAAACAAATATTAAAAAGGTACATTTCTCAGTATAGGTAATAAATATAAAAGAAACAAACAAACCAATAGATTAAAATTAAGAAAAGGGCATTTAAATCAGACAAATTAGAGGCAACCCAACAATGCACACAGAAAGGCAATTAGAATGGCTACGCTAGAAAATTAGTAATTAAGAGCCAAAGAGAACAAAACCAGCCCCCAAATTTTTTTTAAGTAAAGAGAAAAAAAAAAAAGAAAAAAAGAAGGTGTATGTACACTGAAAACAGAGATGGGTGTGTTAATTAATAAAGACCAGGAAAAGGTAGACATTTTATGTAACAATTTTTCTTCAGTATATATTAAAGAGGATCCTATGGTACGAGATATGCATATGATTGCTGCAATTCGGGGCCTTATGGTATTCATCCACGAGTACAAGGAGCTAAGTGTGTAAATAACTGAACCTCTGTATTTAATCTTTAAAGATTCTTTTGTTTCAGGAATTGTAGGAAGGAAGATGTGGATCCAATAATTAAAAGGGGTTCAAAATCTTTGCCTGGAAATTATAGACCTCTGTGCTTAACTTCTGTGAGTGGGAAATTATATGAATGGTTATTAAGGGAGAATATTCAAGAATTCATTGGGAGGAGCAGTAATCAGCATGATTTTATGAAACATAGGTCATGTCAAACTAACCTAATTGTATTATACAGACAGGTAAGTAGACGTATAGATCAGGGTGTTGCAGTGGTGTGATCAACTTGGATTTTGCGTTTGATACGGTCTTCACAATAGGTTAGTGTTCAAACTAACATAAATTGGCCTAGATGAAATTCTTGTTCTTGGGTAGATCATTGGCTTAAAGATAGAGTACAGATAGTTGTTATTAATGGTACATTGTCAAGCTAAACAAAACTGGCAAGGGTGTCCCTCAGGGTTCTGTTCTGGGAACGCTTCTATTAAAAACATTTATAAATGATCTTAAAAGCCATGTTTCAGTGTTTGCGGATGACACAAAACTCTGTAAAGTAATTCAATGTGAGCAGGGTATTGCTTTGCTGCATAGGGAATTAGAAAGATTGGGGGACTGGGCACTCAAGTGGCAGATGAAAGTTAATGTAGAAAAAGGCAAAGTTATGCACTTTGGGGTAAAGAATGCACAAGCAACTTACACCCTAAATGGTAGTGAATCAGGGATAACAACACATGAGAAGGATTTGAGAATTGTTATAGACAATAAACTAGGCAACAATATGCAATGTCAATTAGCAGTTGCTAAGGCCAGTAAGATATTGTCATGTATAAATAGGGGCATTCATTCTCAGGATGAAAATTTAATTTTGCCTCTTTATAAATCACTGGTAAGAGCAAGCTTTGAATATTCTGTGCAATTTTGGGCACCTGTTCTAAAGAAGGATATTATGGCACTAGAAAAGGTGCAGAGATGAGTTAAGCAAATTGATAAAAGAAATGGAGCATTTTAGTTTTGAAGAGAGTTTAATAAAGTTAAATCTCTTGTTTGGAAAACCGGTGCCTCAGAAAGGATATGATAGCATTATACAATTATATTCGGGGCCAATAGAAACCATTGTCTTAAAACTATTCATAAACAGGGCTATACATAGGACACACGGTCACGCATTTAGACTTGAAGAAATGAGATTTAGTCTAAGGAAAAAGAAAGTTTTTTTTTACAGTAAGAACCATAAGGATGTAGCAATCTCTGCCTGAAGAGGTGGTTTTATCAGAGTCTATACAGATGTTTAACCCCTTAAGGACACATGACATGTGTGACATGTCATGATTCCCTTTTATTCCTGAAGTTTGGTCCTTAAGGGGTTAAACAGCAATTGAATAAATGATTGAATAAGTACTATGGGCTCTCTGTAGGATATGATGTAAATACTATGGGCTATCTGTAGATATAATGTTAATACTATGGGCTAGCTGTATGATATAATGTTAATACTATAAGCTATCTGTAGGATATAATGTTAATACTTTGGGCTATCTGTAGGATATAATGTTAATGTAATGGGCTATCTGTATGATATAATGTTAATACTATAAGCTATCTGTAGGATATAATGTTAATATTACGGGCTATCTGTAGGATATAATGTTAATGTAATGGGCTATCTGTAGGATATAATGTTAATACTATAAGCTATCTGTAGGATATAATGTTAATACTATGGGCTAGCTGTAGTTATAATGTTAATACTATGGGCTACCTGTAGATATAATGTTAATTCTATGGGCTATCTGTATGATATAATGTTAATACTATGGGCTATCTGTAGGATATAATGTTAATACTATGGGCTATCTGTAGGATATAATGTTAATACTATAAGCTATCTGTGGGATATAATGTTAATACTATGGGCTATCTGTAAATATAATGTGAATACTATGGGCTATCCGTAGATATAATGTTAATACTATGGGCTATCTGTAGGATATCATGTTAATACTATGGGCTATCTGTATGATATCATGTTAATACTATGGGCTATCTGTAGATATCATGTTAATACTACGGGCTATCTGTAGGATATAATGTTAATACTATGGGCTATCTGTAGGATATCATGTTAATACTATGGGCTATCTGTAGGATATAATGTTAATACTATGGACTATCTGTAGATATAATGTTAATGTTATGGGCTATCTGTAGGATATGATGTTAATACTATGGGCTATCTGTAGATATAATGTTAATACTATGGGCTATCTGTAGATATCATGTTAATACTACGGGCTATCTGTAGATATAATGTTAATACTATGGGCTATCTGTAGGATATCATGTTAATACTATGGGCTATCTGTAGATATAATGTTAATACTATGGGCTATCTGTAGATATAATGTTAATACTATGGGCTATCTGTAGGATATAATGTTAATACTATGGGCTATCTGTAGATATCATGTTAATACTACGGGCTATCTGTAGATATAATGTTAATACTATGGGCTATCTGTAGATATAATGTTAATACTATGGGCTATCTGTAGGATATAATGTTAATACTATGGGCTATCTGTAGGATATCATGTTAATACTATGGGCTATCTGTATGATATCATGTTAATACTACGGGCTATCTGTAGGATATAATGTTAATACTATGGGCTATCTGTAGGATATAATGTTAATACTATGGGCTACCTGTAGATATCATGTTAATACTACGGGCTATCTGTAGATATAATGTTAATACTATGGGCTATCTGTAGATATAATGTTAATACTATGGGCTATCTGTAGGATATAATGTTAATACTACGGGCTATCTGTAGATATAATGTTAATACTATGGGCTATATGTAGGATATAATGTTAATACTATGGGCTATCTGTAGGATATAATGTTAATACTATGGGCTATCTGTAGATATAATGTTAATACTATGGGCTATCTGTAGGATATAATGTTAATACTACGGGCTATCTGTAGATATAATGTTAATACTATGGGCTATATGTAGGATATAATGTTAATACTATGGGCTATCTGTAGGATATAATGTTAATACTATGGGCTATCTGTAGATATAATGTTAATACTATGGGCTATCTGTAGATATAATGTTAATACTATGGGCTACCTGTAGATATAATGTTAATACTATGGGCTATCTGTAGGATATAATGTTAATACTATGGGCTATCTGTAGGATATAATGTTAATACTATGGGCTATCTGTAGGATATCATGTTAATACTATGGGCTATCTGTAGGATATAATGTTAATATTACGGGCTATCTGTAGGATATAATGTTAATACTATGGGCTATCTGTAGGATATCATGTTAATACTATGGGCTATCTGTAGGATATAATGTTAATACTATGGGCTATCTGTAGGATATAATGTTAATACTATGGGCTATCTGTAGGATATAATGTTAATACTATGGGCTATCTGTAGGATATCATGTTAATACTATGGGCTATCTGTAGGATATCATGTTAATACTATGGGCTATCTGTAGGATATAATGTTAATACTATGGGCTATATGTAGGATATAATGTTAATACTATGGGCTATCTGTAGATATCATGTTAATACTACGGGCTATCTGTAGATATAATGTTAATACTATGGGCTATCTGTAGATATAATGTTAATACTATGGGCTACCTGTAGGATATCATGTTAATACTATGGGCTATCTGTATGATATCATGTTAATACTACGGGCTATCTGTAGGATATAATGTTAATACTATGGGCTATCTGTAGGATATAATGTTAATACTATGGGCTACCTGTAGATATCATGTTAATACTACGGGCTATCTGTAGATATAATGTTAATACTATGGGCTATCTGTAGATATAATGTTAATACTATGGGCTATCTGTAGGATATAATGTTAATACTACGGGCTATCTGTAGATATAATGTTAATACTATGGGCTATATGTAGGATATAATGTTAATACTATGGGCTATCTGTAGGATATAATGTTAATACTATGGACTATCTGTAGATATAATGTTAATACTATGGGCTACCTGTAGATATCATGTTAATACTACGGGCTATCTGTAGATATAATGTTAATACTATGGGCTATCTGTAGGATATAATGTTAATACTATGGGCTATCTGTAGGATATAATGTTAATACTATGGGCTATCTGTAGGATATCATGTTAATACTATGGGCTATCTGTAGGATATAATGGTAATACTACGGGCTATCTGTAGATATAATGTTAATACTATGGGCTATCTGTAGATATAATGTTAATACTATGGGCTACCTGTAGATATAATGTTAATACTATGGGCTATCTGTAGGATATAATGTTAATACTATGGGCTATCTGTAGGATATAATGTTAATACTATGGGCTATCTGTAGATATAATGTTAATACTATGGGCTATCTGTAGATATAATGTTAATACTATGGGCTACCTGTAGATATAATGTTAATACTATGGGCTATCTGTAGGATATCATGTTAATACTATGGGCTATCTGTAGGATATAATGTTAATATTACGGGCTATCTGTAGGATATCATGTTAATACTATGGGCTATCTGTAGGATATCATGTTAATACTATGGGCTATCTGTAGGATATCATGTTAATACTACGGGCTATCTGTAGATATAATGTTAATACTATGGGCTATCTGTAGATATCATGTTAATACTATGGGCTATCTGTAGGATATCATGTTAATACTATGGGCTATCTGTAGATATAATGTTAATACTATGGGCTATCTGTATGATATCATGTTAATACTATGGGCTATCTGTAGGATATAATGTTAATATTACGGGCTATCTGTAGGATATCATGTTAATACTATGGGCTATCTGTAGGATATCATGTTAAATGGGCTATCTATGGGCTATCTGTAGGATATCATGTTAATACTATGGGCTATCTGTAGGATATCATGTTAATACTATGGGCTATCTGTAGATATAATGTTAATGTTATGGGCTATCTGTAGGATATCATGTTAATGTTATGGGCTATCTGTAGGATATAATGTTAATGGCTATCTGTAGATATAATGTTAATGTTAATGGCTATCTGTAGGATATAATGTTACAATATATCTGCAGACATGATATATTGGTACCATGTGAAATCTGTATCACTGACAGACGGACAGGGATTCCGTATAAGGTTTAATCAGCTCAGATCATACATTGTGGATATGGTGTTTCTGGGAGCTCTGATCTACATAGGTGAATAACTGCTAATATATCGATACAAACAACAAACACACAGGATATACAGAGCCTAAAATGTCTAAAACAGCAAACGATTGGGACTTGCATTGCATATTCCCTGCCAATCGATAGTGAGCTCTTCGGCTCAGCAGAAAAAAAAACAAAACAAAAAAAACACCTGCACACTTCCCCCACCCCCTTCCAAAATCCAAGCAAGGATTCTCCCCAGCCACCACAGGGTTAAGAAAGCTCTACATGCATGGCATTAATACAACTAGCGAGCAAATCCAGCCTGCCCGTCATTCTTTCCAGATGTGGCTGGATTGCAACTCCCACAACCCTCAGTCTGCCATACTCCCTCCCAGCCAGCCGTGCCACCCATGGGTGGAGATGACATCATCCTGGGGAGCTGCTCGCCGTTTGCTGCACTGCAGTAAAGCTTCTCCACCATCCCTGCAAATCCAGCTACCAGCACATCCCTGGCTCCCAACATTTGGGGCCACAGCAAGGCAGCCCCCCTGGGAGGGAGATGGGGTCACACACTTACTTCTCTATCCTTGGGCTTCTAGCTGGCATCTTCCTGTTAGCAGCCTGGTGTGGGAGCAAAGCATTAGGTCAGCAGATAGAGAGGTCCAGTAACACCAGGATGGAGAGGGCAGATCTTTCTGGCAAGCCCTGGGCTGGGTGTTCCTGAAAGCCCCTCAGTGGGCCCCCCAGCAGCAGTGGACTAGGTGGTGGGGCATGGAGAGACACTCAGGCTGTCCTCCTCCTCCTCACCTGGCAGCCCCCTCCATCCTTTTCCTCTGCTCAGACAGTAATTGCTTCATCTGGAGAGAGGAGGGGCAGTGTGCAGCCTGGCAGTGTACACAGATACTCTCCCACAAGTGCCCCTGAGGGCACCAGTCAGTCACTGTGACATACACTACACTCCTCCCACAAACCAGCCCAAACTGGCATCTCTGGGCACACCTCCCAAATCCCAGCATCTTCACACCTGTGGTACCTTACATTATGAAATATCACCCTCCCCCCCCCATTAAAAATCATTTCAAAACTGCCCTTTATATTGACTCCACATACTCTACATGAACCAGTTAATTGTTAATCGTGGCAGAATAACTTTTAATTAGGAAGATATTTATTAATCTGATCAGCCATAACCTTTTGTAACCATTAAGTAGGTGTGCACCAAGAAAACTGCTGGGAAAAATACACTTACAATTGATATTTTTTTTCTGTTTATAGCGCTACTCGAAATCTATTTATCGAATTGCAGGTTGTTGGTAAATGTCATTATTTTCACAAATATAGTCGTAAAAAAAATAAAAATTAATCCAATTAATTATTAATCTGGTATCTCACATTAAATATACACGCTGTCCATTTAACACACTGTTTAATGTTCGTAATATTCTCTATGCCCATTCATGTTAAGTATGTTGATGGTAGTACAATATTATATACATTTTTCAATTCCAATTTTATGGTATGGTTTTTTTTCTGTCTCTTGTTAGTACAATCCTCTTAAAACGTAGATGTCAGTAGTGAGATGCATTTTTTTTTTAATTTATTTTTTTACATTCTCACTATTTTTTTGGGGTGGGATTTGCATTCCCTTCCTGGCTGCCCATAATTGTAAATTAACTTAACCCATGTGGTGCCATGTGATCATGGTTCCTTCAATAGTATGGTACCCATGTGTATCATACTATTGAAGGAAGGGTGAGCAAACAAATGCTCATTTGCCATTTCTCTGTAGATGCCCAATCCTGCACAATGCAGCATGGGGCAATAATATCACCCTTCAATGGACATGATGGGCACCAGAACCATTAGAGCTTAATGTTATAGTTCTGGAGCAAAAAAATGGTCCCTGCAGCTTCAGCAGTGTAACTGTAAGAGAAAAGGCAGTGTTTACAATGCTGATTAAAGCCACCTCTAACAGTTGTCACTCAGACAGTAACCAGAAGTTCCTCCTGGATGCGGTCCTGCAAAGATTACAGGACCAATGTTCACTGTCCCCTTGCTCTGCATGGAGACAATAAATGCTCCCTATAGAGATGTATTTTGTCACTGCATCTCTATGAGAAGATGTTGATTGGCGCGCATGTGCACTATCTCTCTGATGCTTCCCTATGTGGAAGCATTGGATTGGCTGAGATCATCCGTACTGATGCTATTTTGTACATTAAAAAAACACCCAGATTTAGATCCAGTGTCTTTTCAGACCTCCTCGGTTACCTATTAGAAGGTAATCTCTACAGCTTGCACAGCGTATAGCGCTTACACTGTAAGCATCAGGCGAGAAACACACTTATTTCCACTGCTGTACAATGCAGCTAAACACAGTGACAGATCACAGAGCTTGCCACAGAGCTCCAGCTGCTTCCTGTGTGTCTGATCACACACCATGGCTGAACACAGAAGTTTGGGCACATCGTTTTAAATGAATGTGACAGCACTCAGCAGCCAGCAGATTACATTATGGCCAGTGTAAAGGCTGCAGTAGTCACAGGGGGCAATAAGGGGATTGGGCTGGCTGTAGTTAAAGCCTTAAGAAGCAGTTCGGGGGGCATGTTTATCTCACAGCCAGGAACCCCAAACTGTCAAGACCTTGGAAAAGAAAGGATTGTCCAGCATCCAGGCTCTCAGGGATTTCCTGAAGGACAAGTATGGTGGCTTTGATGAACTCATTACCAAAGCTGGCATTGCTTTTAAAGTTGCTGACACTACTCCATTTGGTACCCAAGCTGAAGTCACAGTGAAAACGGACTTCTATGGCACTAGGGGTGTTTGCAAGGAACTGCTGCCACTAATTAAGCCACATGGGAGAGTGGTCAATGTGTCCAGCATGATTGGCTACAATTCTTTGGAGCATTGTAGCCCAGAGTTACAGCAGGTCTTTGTTAGTGAGTCGATCACAGAGGAGGACCTTGTCAAACTTATGGAAAGGTATGTAGAAGATGCCAACCAAGATGTACATCAAAAAGAAGGCTGGCCAAACACGGCTTACATCTAAAATAGGAGTGACCATGCTCTCTAAGATCCAAGCAAGAGAGTTAGACGCAACGAGGAAAGGGGAAGGAATACAACTTAATGCCTGTTGTCCAGGGTGGGTGAATGCTCCAAGCACCAGATAATGGTGCCTAGACTCCCGTTTATCTGGCTCTCCTGCCGCCTGATGCAGGGGCACCTCACGGGGAGCTAGTTAGCGAAAAGGAAGTGGTGAAGTGGTAACCAAATGTTTTGGCTGACTAGTGGGTCAAATGAGCTCCGAAACTACAGTGTTTATATGCTAATTCTCATAAAATTGTATCAGCCACTTCATGTGTTCATGACTGCCTTTATTTTTTTATGGGTAAAAAATAAAAAAAATTAAAAAAATTGGGCTCCAGCTCACAAAGTGGGGCCCCAGGTATCAGCTGTTACCTGAATCTCTCCGGTATGATCAGGGATTTAACTCTGCTCGCCAGAAACTGCCAGACAGGCCGTGTGTATCGTTTTTTTCCTGGTGGTCACTTAAGATTAGAAGTTACGTCTATAGCTATATGAAAAAGACTGTATATCATATATATTTTAATAAGGACTATTGGGAAGTCGTTTGTTCCTTTGCGGTCGGTCATATGTCGGAATGCATCCGACAAAATACTTTTCCTCTTGCGGTCCAATGTCGGACTTTCCCTGCAGAGTACCGCCAATCCTTTGTGCCTCGTGCCTCGAATGTGTGCGATGCGCTCAAGCAGTGAGAATCCGACATTGGACAGTAAGAGGTAAAATATTTGGACACCATTATAAAAGCAATGGAAGAAGACATTCACACCAGCACTGGAAGAAGGCTACATCTGCCGAAACGCATCTGCTGTTTTATGTATTTTATGTCTTTGTTTTGGGTTACTAATAGGTGGTAAGTGCGATCAAATTGTGGTTTCCTCACTACCACTCTATTTTAAAGTACCCAATTTTACACATATTGTTTTTACTTGTTTTATACTCAATAAATCAATTCTGAAGATTATTGAGAGTCCATCATACAGTTCTTTTTGCTGATAATCCTGGATAATTTTTATCGTATAGCCCATAGTGGCACCCTACAGCGCATTATACAGAGCCTGGGAAGGCTCTGAGTCATGTGAGTGGAATTCCTATCCCATCCATTTATTATATGCTTTTAAAACAGTTCACACTATGTTGTGTTATTTCTGTTTTTCAGATTCCGTGTAAAATACGGTTGTATCTATTATTACCTGTATCAAAAGGTTTTTTCCTTACTAGTATATATATATATTTTTTTTTTCTGTTTATAAAAATATTTTGTCAGTTCGCAAAGGGTTAAGCAGTTAGCCCATAAACAGGGTTTTTCACTTAAGTTGGAAATGTTGGGAATTAAAAGTAAATTCAAAATGAATTTCAAACTTGAAGGCCAAAAACAGCAAACTGGAAAAATTCTCCACATCAGCTATGCTTCTATTTCGGCTACTTTGGCCTTGAGTTTTATATTCGCATTGAATCCCCAGCTATTCTCACGTTAGTGAATAAACCTAATATTGGATAGCATGGGGTGTTCCCCAAGACAGGTAAACCGTGCAGAATAGTATTAGTATTATTACTGGCTTGTATAAAGCATTATATAATTCCACACAGGGCTCTACAATTTGACAATGCTGCAGAGCCCCAATGTTTTAAAAGCTTGGTCTGTGTGTACTCCATCAAATCATGGTTCTATAGCACTCACTACAGGTTTCCTGGAAGCGGATATGTTAAAAAAAACCTCTGTAAAGTACAAATACTTAAAAAAAAAGTTAATCATTTATTTATATCAATTAACAAAATGCAAAATGAGTGCACAGAAGAAAAATCTAAAATTTAAATTCAATATTTTGTGAGCACCGTCTACCTGCAGAACAGCCTTAATTCTTGTCACGTGCACAAAGTCTGGCATTTGGTAGGCATACGGTCATGTACGCGATTAAGCAATTATACTAAACAGGTGCTAATGATCATTAATTAATACGTAGATTGAAATACGATCATTAAGTGAATCAGAAGCAGCTGTGTGAGAGAAATAAAACTGGGTGAGGGACAGACAAACTGCTAACAAGGTGAGGTTGCGGAAGTCAGTTTAATGTGTGCGGTCATACGCCATGACAAGACTGAGCACACTATAATAGTAGAAAATAATCCAGGCACTCCAACTTGTTCCAAACAATGGGAAATTTTTAGTGGACCCAAGAACCACACAACGTTTCGACCCCTTAGGGCCTCTGTCAAGCTTGAATACAGTAACAGGACACAAGGTAGTTCTACTGTATCAAGGTCTATCCCAGGCAGAAATGTGAAGGCAAGGTGTTCTTAAATAGTTAAAGGGTTTGTTATGGGCAAATGCAAATATTACAAGTTTTAGAATGAAATGTTGTATTTCTTAAACTGTGTACTTTGTCTTTAAGAGATATTGCAAACTGACAAGGTGTTAGAAAGGGAACATATTGTTTTTCATAACTGTTTCTTTAAGCAATAACCTCAGTGCATAATATGTTTGCGCCATTTTGTCCCAGACAAATTACAATAACAATAATGCATAAACAAGCTTCAAGGCTATACTACAACTCTTTCAGTACACAATATACTGTGGTAACCCCAAGTTAATGGAACTTCCCCAAATCCGGGAATCTCCCACGACTGTGCACTTACGACTTAGTATAAACAACAGATAACCTATTCAGACTTTAAGATGCCATCTTGAACTAACTCAGGAAAATTTCCATGACGTATACACCCTTTAGTTATAGCCTTGTATGTTTGCCAAATTAAGGGAGGTCCTAAAATGAATAAAGTAAAAGAAGTGTTACTTTTTCATATATGA